CATAATGTACTATACTATATTATAGTATAATACATAATGTACTATACTATATTATAGTATCTCTAAAGTCTAAAGAATGTATGGCATATTTAAAAACTCTTTCGTATTTTAAATTAAATTTAAATATTAAATATTCTAAGTTATGTACATCGATTAATTTCAACACAGAGTGAAAACATAATATGAAATTATCATAAAACACAGTTTTGACTTTTCAAGTATAGTAAAATTAAAATTTATACAAGTTATGAAACATACTTTGAATATTAGTATTTGTACTAAATATAATAGTATATTCATAATGTTTTGATTTGAAAATGGGAAAAATAAGTTATTTAATATTAAAACAACAGTTTAAACTAAATATATATATTATAAAATAATAAATATTGTTGTTTGTTATTCACTATTCTGTTCAAGAGAAAAAAAATGAATACCTAACATTCCTTAAATATCATACATTTGTACATTAAAATATTCATTTAACTAAATAAAAAAAAAAAATGCACTATTACTCTCTAAAATAAGTAGGCACCTATACTGCTTTACTTATATTAAGTACTTAATAACATTGTTAGCTATCTAAATTACGTATTAATTAAATAAAATTCCACAATAACGTTTACGAGAGCAGCAACAGCATTGAGTATTTTTTTTTTAATTTGTTAAGAAATTTCTGAATCTCGTTGAATAATATTTTTAATATATACTTTATTTTTGGCAATTAAGGTACATAAGTAATAATAAAATAAAATATGACATCTCTAAGCTCTAGATCATAAGAATAATCCTGAATTTTATAAAACTGAAGAAAACCTTTTCTAAAAGAAAAAACCGCTAACCTTAATTTCCCGTGTTCTAAATTTAATATTATTATTTAGGTACAAGATTTAATATTATAATATATTATATATTTATGTACCAAAAGCCGCGGATACAGATAGTCTAGAACATTCAAATAGTCAAATGTCATTGATGCATAAAAATTAAACATCAATAGTTAAATCAAATCTATTCTAAAAGTTCTAATTTCCTACTGATAAATCCAAAACATTTGAAAGAAAATTTTTTTTTAAAAATGACTTCTCACATCAAAGTACTATAGTACCTGATATTATAGTCTTACGAATCATGTCCCGTCGTGCTGCTGTACGGCGGGTCGGTGTGACGTTCACGATTCGGTGTCCGGATGGAAACTGCGGCTGCCCCCTTCAGGAGGGGAAGACGTGCTGGAAAAAACGGGACACGAAGGGGTAACAACTTTTGTATCCGGTGGTGACGGGGTTTCCCGCGTGTAGCGCCCGCGTAGTTCGCCCGCTATATACACGCTCACCGACATTTTGTTTCCCTTCCTCCTCTCTATTTAATGTTGTGCTCTAATATGCGAGATGGACGATATCCTGTAGTAGGTATATACGTTTCATTTCTATGTATAAATATATTATGCAATTGATATAAATATATAATGTATTCACTTTACAGGGTATCTTAAATCGTTTGTCCTGCTCGTAACTTTATTACAAATTAATATGATTTAGAAGCCTCGGTTTTGTAATTAAATATTCATACTGTGTAAGTATAACATTATTATGTTAGTTCATCCAGACTTAAAATAAAAATTTATTTTATTTTTGTTTTTGCAGTAGTTTCTTAAAAACCCCAGGCGGTCAACGTGTATAGACAATAGACATAGACATAATTTATGTTGATATAAAAATGTAATTACATACTTCCATTAAGCATTCAAAATATTTCAAATAGCCAGGAAGTTGAGCAGAGGACGTTATACCAACTTATACCCGCATGTATTGTCTCCGCTTTACATACTTCTACATAGACAATTTTAAGTTCAGAAGTGAATTGACCAAAAATTAAATTTAAAGGAAATAATATAATCCAGGGCTTCGCATAAGTTGTTATGATACATTCATTTTGAACCAAGTTATGGGTATTTTAAAATTGTACATTTTTTGTAAATTTCTAAAAAAAAGTTCATAGGTATGCTTGCATTTTTCCAATACAAAATATGTTTTTAAAAGTATGTATACCTACCTAATCTTAAAGTTATGATTTTATGAAATAAACTATGGTGATTTGTATGCAGAAACCAAATGAAAAATAATAATTAGGTACCTATTGAGTATTGTGGGAGTAATGTGCCTAAACAAGACGTATAGGTACCTTAACAAATTCCTAGATGTGCCATTGATATGGTAGGTACTTAATGTTCTAAACTTGTAAGTTTCAACTACTTAATTTTATAAATATTATAATCATTATTTAGTTTTTAAATTAGGTAAGTATCTACTTACAGTTAAGATATTGTTCAAAGCCAAAAATTACACTTTTAACATATATACTGTACAGGTAGGTAGGTATACTTACTTAGCATAAATATTATAAATTATAATATACTTACTTTGGCATTATGGCAGCTGCATAAAGTTCATAGTCACAACTATAACTATATATTTGACATATTTGCTAGTGGTGTTTTTACAAAGTTAACTGTTTGGTAAATTTTAACAAAATGTTTAAAACAAAAGACCATAAACCACCATTATAAGGTCTGTGGAAAAAAACTAATAATAATATTTACAAGCTTGTAACACCCACTAAAAGTGGCAACACTGTACATTTGAAATCCGACGAGAAAATAGTAAATAGTAAATACTGATTATTGAGACCCAGAACGAGAACATGACTGTCATGTCGTTGGAAATTGTTTTCACTTTTCAGTGGGAATTGTGGGATCACAATAAGTCTTAATAACTATTGTCAGTAATATACTAATATAGTTGAGCTAGAGACCCCAAATAGAGGCTCAAAACGGATTTTAATTAAATTTGAAAAAACCCCGTGGCGGTCTGTTTGAACATTTCCCCTAATCCCCTCAAACTTAGTACCTATATATTTGCAATTTGCAAATGGCATTTAATAAATATAAATTTACATCAATATTTATACATAATATAATATCCAGTATAATTCAAATATAGCAACCAAGCATACACACCTCCATGTTTTCTTTAATAATATGGGTACCTATTTGTTCATAATATGAATATTGAAATTTCTAAGTACATTTTGTACTTACACGCAGTACATATTGAACTTTTTTTTTTATAAAAAAATATAAATTACTCACGTATCAGGAATCACGTAGAACTAAACGTATAAACTGCAGACTAAGTACTACCAAAATATATATTAAACCACAGGGAGCTTTATTATCGACATTGCATCCACCACGAAGAAGTCCTAGATCCGCCACTGCATACACGGTTACACTTAGACCATGTTTTCATTTATGTATTTAGATTTATAAGAACTAAATCGGCTGAATAATTTACAACTATGCGCCGAAAGCCCCGCCTAGTTCCCTTATGGGCAGCTGTATTTGTATTTTATACATTGTTGACTCGACGATTTGTCGTCTAATCCAAACAGACATCAAACGAAAAACTTTTTATTTACTTTTCTATGCGACAGACACGCTATTCGGGTAATATTTTGAAGTCAAATTGACAAAAGTGAAACTTGGGGAGCCAAAAAGGCAAGTGACCTCTCGAATGGACAAGCAATAAAAAGGCGTTTTAATTTTATTATACCTATGTAATATGTTCTTTCAAATTTCATAATAATTTTTTTTATATTAACTTATTATTGATTTTAGAAAATAATTGAATTCAATGACAATAGAATGGCCAAAGTATCGATTGATATTTTTTTCAATCAAGTACTAAGTAGGTATTACTTTATTTATTTTTTGGAACCGACTATGCCGAGGGAACAGCTTTTATATTAGGTACTTCTGCAACGCCACCATCGTTTGGTATGCAAATAATAATATAGTCGCACACGACACACATTACACATACATGGTCTCTCCTCAAGAGACAGCTAGAATAACTACAGTTAAATTAGGTGAGTAACTACCTACCTATAATATTATGATCAGTCTAATATGTCATACAAACTTTTGGTTGACTGGTGGAAGGGGAGGAAGTGGGCTTTGAGTAGTTTATAAATATTTAAATTTTTAGATGCCAATAGTAGGGTACCAATTTGTATTTGACTTCAGGGTCTCTCCTGTCCAGCTAGAGAACACACCGATTCAGCACTTCCCCACCATAGTGGAACTGGTCTTGGTGGCTGGGCCCTGAGTGTGTAGAAGAGCCGAGGTTAATTATTATTAATATAGTAATAAAATATGTTATTCCAACATTAAATTGTTAATAAAATAATTATCCAAATAGGTGCTTCAGTGCTTTGATGAATACCATTGTATTAATTGATTTGCTTCATTCACCTCCAAGTTTGATAGTTAGTGATGTTGTATACATCGTATTTAGAACATTAAATTTGAAATAAAAAATAAATAATTGATCGACTGTGGAATTTGAAAAAAACAATATAAGGAAGTGGGAAGAGTTCCTCTCCCTAAGTATCATCAAAAATGTTTTTTTGGTAATTTTCGTTTTGAGATTTGAGAAATTACTGAATTAATCAACAAATAATGTATATGATGTGTTATGAAAATAAAGGTGCTGAGTACATAAAACTCTCATTCTATTGAAAACTTTTTCAAAAAACAAGATGATAAAAGACAATACGTTGTACTCTGCAGATACTACAATATTTATTAATTATCATTTTATACTGAAAATCTAAAATAACATAAAGCATACAAAAACTATGAGGGGGTGGGAGACAAGAGGATATTATATTCTGAAATACTAAAAATATTAAAACATACTTATTATTATTTATGTACTCATAAATATATGTCCATAACTCAATAATATATATTTTGTTTTATATTTATTATTTTTTGAAATTTAGTAAACTCAATTTGGGCATTATATTAAATTTACCTAGTTGCATAAAGGTATAATTCTAAATTAAACAATTAAATAGATATATAAATTGCAATGAATTTTGTAGATTGTCACCAACTAGGAATTGAGAATGGATCTTAAATAAACATTAATAGCATATTGCATACATCATACTCAATATGATCTAAAATTTATATAATTTTAAGTACCATGCATCAAATCATAATACAATAATAGACTACATAACTATGAAATAAGATAATTAAGTATGTATACATATATTTAACTTTAGTAATATCACAACATAATCAATACAAATTAATAAAAATCACACATTTATGTCAGCAATTGCATAAAATACATAATTTAATTTATTTTATATTATTAACTTCAATATTTTTAAATAAAAATTGGAATAAAATATGTAAAACAATTTAAATGTATTGTTAATTGTTCAAGTGTTCAAGTGTCATCTATAAAAAATTGTAAAATATAAACTATATTTAAAATCTAAGGTCATAAAATGCTGTTCATTGTATCAATCACATAATCAAACTATAAGCGACTAAATACAAATTATGTTTACATAACCAAATTGGTTTTAATAATTTATGTTGATCATGAATACTTGTAAGTTGTAATTGATTTAATCACAGTAGAGTAGTTGGGAATAAATTTCCATGGTTTTAACATATTCCTCAGCTATTATATTGTAAAAATTAAATAATAATAGTTTGATATTATTTAGATATAAAATTAAAACTAAAAATATTAATAGATGAGCTTAATATAACTTATTTAATACTTTTAATAATGATGAAGTTTAAAATTCACGTTCTGGTAATAAAATTGGTGCCACTAATGTCCAAACATAAAGACCAGCACAAACCCAACAGGATAATATCTTAATCCATGTAGAAGCATAGTCTGGATGAAGGTTGTCTAAGCTGGAGTTAGGTCTAATTGAAAAAAAAATAGGTAATATTAATGCATGAATAACATGATACATTTATAAAATCAACTATAAAAATATTTTGTTTATACTTACGAATACCAATTTGTAAGGGTCATCATCAAGAATAAAGTAGCCATAGCAAATGTGAAGTGATAAAATGACCATGAGTAAGCGACTCCTTCTTTTTCATCATCAAACAGTTTACCAGAGTTATTATCATTGTCCGACACGGGTCCTCCTTCAAGGTCACTATCATTGCCTACTACAATAGTTAAAATAAAAATATACGGTTTATTTAAGTATTAAAAACTAACTAATACTCACTTCTTTCCGTAGAATTACTCATGGAGAACTTTGAGGAAGATCCCGTTTTTATAGCAGAGTATAGTACAAATAAAACAAAAATGCCTATGCTGACTATATTTTCTGAACCCAAATGAACTTTAGAACCGTCTGAACTAGACAGACTCAAGACTTCTGACAAGCTCTTATTACATTGAGTTTCTAATTAAAAAAATTGTAATTAATAAAAATTGTACATTCAGATTTTTTTTAACTAAATATATGATATACCTGGACCACTATTGAGTGCTGACCAAGTAAGATAAACCACATACAAGCTAACAATAGACGATTGCAATAAACCTGATTTTTCATGAACACGTTGTACACATGAAGTAATTGAAATTGAACTAATAATTAAGCATATTACAATTGTTAATATGATAAAAAATTTATTCAAAGCACATCCATTCTCCTAAAAAAAATTGTAATACCATATTAAGAATATTTGATATCATAAATTACAGGAAATGAAAATACACAGATTAAAATATTTTTGAATACATTTATAAGTTTTCACAATGTTAGTTGACATATTGTTTGTTGAGTTTATTAATAATTGCATAATTCCCTATCACAAGCTTGCTTTTTGGGACCTCATAATCATAATTGTTATTCATGGAATACCAATGTATTTTCAATTTATAAACCTAATTTGAAATTATTGACATTCGTGTTAATGGCAAATCAACAAAATAATTATAATAATACAAGACTATATCTAAAAACTGTTGCAAATGCTATTCATAAATATTTATATGTGTAATAAAACAACCAAATTGTAACTATGAATAAAAGGTAACCTGATTTTTATAAATATTTTTGATTTTTTGATAGCTTATACAACTGAATAATTTTAAACAACTAAGCAAAAGTTTAGAATACATGCTTATTCTTTTTAAAAAAAACACTGAATCATAACTACCGATTTATTACTGTTAAATATTGATAAATGTCATACGATAACATTTACACGTAAAAAAAATCCTATCTTTTTTAACTATAATATTGAAATGTGTTCTCTCATTAGAGTAAATGTAATCAAAGATCTTTGTATTTATTTTGAAAGTGATCTTTCTTTTAAAACTAACCATAATATGATAATTAATAAATCGTTTAAGATGTTAGGCTTTATTAATAGAAATACTAAAGATTTTAAAAATCCGTTATGCTTAAAAACCTTGTATACATCTTTAGTTAGATTTAATCTTGATTTTGGCCCCGTAATCTGGTCATGCAAATAATTGACATATATAAATGATTTGGACAATGTACAATATAAATTTTTAAAAAGGATTTCATACTTGTCAAATATTCCATTATCTAGGGACTCTCTCCCTCTAACTCAAGATTATATAGGCCTTGTTTCTCTTTCACTTAGACGGAAATTAACTGATATTATGTTTGTCTATGATCTTATTAATTACAATATTGTGTGTCCCGAATTGTTGTCTGAAATCAGCTTACAAATTCCATATCTAATTACACGTAATTCAGATTTATTTTTAGTCCCTCATTATAAAACGAATAGTGGTACCAATTCTTTTTCCCTCGAGCTTTAATTTTAGCTAATAAAATTTGTATACATTTAGATATTTTTTTTCTCTCACGCAGTTGTTTTAAATCTAAATCTATGTTATTATTAAAAAATATTGATTGATTAATATGGAAAAAAAAATGTTTATAATGTAACTATAATTTTATATTTTTATTACTTTTAATTCAGAGTTAATTTTATATTATTTTATCTGTTTTTGTTAGGTTTCACTACACTTATTAAGTTTTTAGTTTTTATCTGATATGTTTCCTTTATATAATTTGTAAAAGGGTATATACCCGTTGATATACAACATAAATAAATAAATGACTCATAAGTAAACGTTTTTCAAATATTTATCATGGACATTTGATTATTAGTTGTATTATAAACGTAGACTAACTAGTGTCACTACTACTAATTAGTAATTAACTATAAAAGTTTGAAAACTGTCAAACTGATATGATATTTTAATATTATTTATTTTTACCTGGGTAAAACTGTGATACATAATAATGACTCCAGTAATTGCTAGTCCATATGATACTACTGTAGTAAATAGTAATGCAAAATACCTAAAAATTACCAATTCAAAATTTGCTTTAAGAAGTTATTATTTGATATTGACGTAGAACTCACCATCTTTTATCTTCAGTTTGTTCCCATTTGTCCAGCCATGATTCAGCCAATGAATGAGCAGAATCTAAGACTTGTACAAACTGGAGAATGAGATAAATAAAACCTCCAATCATACCACAAATCATCCATATGTGACTAAAGCTTCCTGGCGCAATGAAAAATGAACCAACAATACCAGCAAACACAATGAGATATTTCAATCCCCAGAATCTAATTAAACGAAAAAAAATGTTATTTTTCTATACATGGACTACAAATGAAAAAGAAAATAAATTTCATAAAATAATACCCATTTTGTATGGGGGCTCGTCCATCTCTAGAATTCTTCACACCCATCATAATAAACGACATGAGTGCAAAGAATATGAACATGGCAAAACAAATTCTATAAACCGCCATGTAGCCAACAGCATTTTTACAATCAATAGAAACACCAGATATGTTATTGACAATATTACTAGTTATACCAGAGTTGTGATCACCTTCACAAAATGGTACCTAAACATAAAATGGTGATAAAATGTACTATGTATATGTATTAGTATTCAATATGAATAATCTAATTACCTTTTGTAAAAACGATTGCAGTCCAGGAGCAAGTGTGATGCAACTTATAACGATAGCTACGAGTAACATGAGTCCATACATCACTTTTGTCGACGTAGAATTTCCGCACGACGGGCAACATGCAAAGAGAGAGCATGCTGCTTGACCGCAACAGCATGCCAGCTTAAAATTGTAATAAAAATAATGTATTATAATTAAAAGGTAGATGAGGTACTGCGCACAATAATGCTCAATAATAAACTCACTTGACCAACTGTGCACAATGAAAATAAAGCACCCATCTTCGACGACGGCTGTTGTTTGAGTTATAAGCGATAATTGTATCCCTTATCCCTAGAAAAAAATATATTATTAACAATTACTGATGTCAACCACCGTGTCTGGAGACTACTGTCCGCCGATCACAACCACAAGAAGCTTACGTCAATCGCTTCCTTTGTTCTTAAAGTGTTCGATAATACCCAACTCTTGTTCGACACAACAACAATAATATTTACTCTAATACTCTAATAGTCACTGTCCGTCTTATAATTTTTAGTGAGTACTATGTAGTTGTAGTCACCGATAAGGTCATATGGAACATGGGATATCAATTCGATTGGAAGAAAAACCGAATAAATTCGCAATTTATTGCAACTACAATCACAGAACTGTGCTACAATCAGCTCCTTATCATGTATATGATCTAAGGTCACCTCACAGATAATATAGATAATATAGTTTAGTAGTGACGTCCTCACTACTCACAGATATCTATACTAACTTTATTATACATACACAGAGTACAGACAGAATGTAACAGAAAGATATAACAAATGGAATAACTTGCGTTCTACTCAATATTTTTTTATTTTTTTTTTCATAAATTAAAAGACGCTGTCTCTTGTATAACACGTATAAATGTATAATTTAAACTTTTTTCTTCTAAAATTGATATGAAAAAATATTGTTTAGAGTCACGATTTAAGATATGTCTAGTTGTATTACTCTGAGGGTATATCTTAAATCGTATTGAGAGCACAAGTTATTTCATTTGTCATATTATTCTTTCTGTTACACTCAGTAGACTATATTTACTAAATTGGAAATCTGTGAACGTATTATAACGACAGGTAGTCTTATCTCAGAATACTTTTTTATTATTCTGTGGTTTTGTTTTGTTACCTTGTTACTTGTAGTGTAGATAGTACTATCTACAGCCACAGCCGTGCTAGACGCTAGTGTCTTGCCAGGAACCAGTAGCCAGTAACATAAAAATTATTGGCGTTCGCCATTCACTAATTTTTATTCCCACTATGACACTATCCATTTATATTTAAATATTATTCACTATTATCCCTCCCATCAATAACCAACATGTTATACCTCCTCACGTACCAATCAAAACAATTTTTTGTCAGAGTATGAAAAAAAACATTACGACATCCGAAGGTCAGCCACACAAGTGGTCCGGCTTATTGCTACTTCAATAATTGATGTTCCTGTATTAATAGGTATACAAACTACTATTATGGAGTTTATTTAAGTATATTAAGTGTATTAGTTAGGTCGTTTGCTCACTATTAATTTGTTTATATTAGTTCAGGTACTCTATTAAAAATTATTTCTAAAATCATAATATTTTATAGACTATCTACCTATAATTAGTATTGAAAACATGAGTCTCACAGACACCATCGGCAAGTGTGCTGCTATTGCAACTATTGGAACATTCTTTGCTCCTGTGTAAGTACATAATTTAATACAAAGCAATACTTAGTATTCAGCAATACCTAAAATTGGCACAATTGACCTAAACTCATTTTAAAGTCCAGTTACCTATATTTTTTATTTAAAATAACTATAGTCACTGGGTTTTTTTGCAAAAAAATTATTCAAAACAATAAATTTTTTAGCTTATAAAGTTATGAGCACTGATTGTTCATCGCAAGATTTGAATTGCTTTCTTTTTTAGTCAGTAACACTTAAATACTTAATTGCCTACAAACATATAAGTTAGTAATACTTAAATTCGTTATTTTAATAATGGTAATGGAAAAAAGTAAAAGATGTCTAAACACAGCTTTATTTAATATATTTAATCATTGGTAATACATAGGTACTTGAATAAATTATAAGAATTTTGAGTAACTACCTATCAATACACATACCTAAAAATATTTTTATATACCTAGTTTCAAAGGTTTTTTGTTCTTTTTTAAGATGACTGCGCTAGTTTGTGTTGTACTATTGTCTCAGTTTACAAATGTTGAACATGATTAGTTTACACTCAGCAGAATCAGTTTTGTGTTATTAGCTTTAATATAATAATTTATTATATAGATTATTTTTTTTTAAAACTAATATTGGGATATTTAAAGTATTGAGTTCATTAACCTGTTTATCAATAATAATTAGTAAGACTAACATTTTCTGGGATGTACATTTACTGTGTTGATAATTAAATAGTCAATTAGCTAAGTATTTTAAATAAGTATTGTAACAAAAATTTAAGCATTAAAATTGAAGTGCCAAAAAATACTTAATGCTACAACTTAGATAATGTTGTGACATCATAAAATAGGGTTATTAATCATAGGTTTATTAAATAACATTAATGAAAGAACCAAACATCATTGTTATTAATAGTCCATCATAATTAATTAAGTGTAGGTACTTGAAGATTATTTATTATTGCTAACTAAAAAGAAGTAACAGAGAGTTGAATGTGTTGAGTATTATTATTTATAATAATTGTATAAGTTATAATCAGGAATCATATTTTATAGCATTCAAATTGTTTAAATATGCAGCCTTGTAATATTCCCTTAAATATTGTGATATATGTAACAATCATAGACCTATTAATATGTAATATTAGAAGTTAATAATATTAATAGATCTATGATAATAATAATGGCAGAATATTAAAAATTATAACTTGAACTCTATGTAATTGACAAACGTTTTCATTAGCTTATAAAACTGTTTAATCATAAAATATAACAGATTTTGATTAAAAAATAAGTTGAAATGTAAAAACATCCCAAAAAAATTAAAAAATACACACTAAAGTTTAAATGTAGCAAAATACCTATGCAAACAAAAATTAATTCTTCTATTAAAAATTATACTGTTGATGCTTAAGCGTCTTATGACAAATTACTAGTAAATCCATCCCCTAGTTATAATATATTGTTTATTTAATAGCCCAATAGTAATATAAATATATTCTACTCAGTGGCAGCGTATAAATTAAATATAAACAAAAAATTAAAATAATATTTAATTAATATCCACTGTAAAAATAAAAAATAGTTTATAGATTTACTAGTTCAGATTTAAATGCTGGTAATTATATTTTTTAAAGTTTATGTAAGAAGCAATTGTTTAATTTAGAATTTGTATTAAATTTAAATAATATTAAGTTGTACTTAGTAATTGTCTTGGTATTAACTAATTTACAAAATTAATTCCGAGACACGTCCATGTGTATAACTTATTAACAAATGCTTGAGCTTAACATAATTATATTATGCCAGATGAATTTGACTATCCGTAACTCTATTTCAATACAATTGTTTTATTTAGAAATCTCAATCAATAGGCTAAATGATACATCTAATAGTAAATTTATTAGTCTAAAAACAAGAATGCATTTCTAATTTATTTTGCATATCAATATATTATGTATAGTGTTACATAATTATTGATATTATATTTTATTAAAAAAAATATATATATATACTCTCTTAAACCTTACTATCCAGTTATTAATGTTAAACTTATCTTATTCTCAATAGCTAACCTATTATATATTATTATAACCTTAATAAAACAAGACAAAAAAACTTTCAAAAATATATTATTTAGTGATTAGGTTCAAATTCTAAACATTCAATAGTTTATATTTCACTGTTTCAGTCTTATATGTCGAGATATAGTAAAAAATAAAAGCACCAAAAATGTTGATCCTACACCTTTTATTGGAGGTATGGCTATGTAAGTGTTATATTAATTGTTTTAATTTATTTGTTCATCTAATCACTATAATTTAATATGTTTAGGTCCATACTTATGATCAAAAATGGATTACTTATGAATGATCCTAATATTATACCAGTTAACATTTTTGGATTTATTTTAAACTTGATTTATTTTTTAGTTTTTTATTTTTTTACTGCTGATTCGGTAAATAAATTACTCTTATTTATTAATATCTAATGTTTGTCTAAATATTATAATATCTTTATATTTGTAGAAACCATTACTTTCAATGTTAACTAAAGCTACATTATTCACTGGTGTGTTATGGGGATACTCAGCAATTGAAGATGAAAAACTAATTGAATACCGTTTTGGAGTTATTCTCACTGTATTAATGTTGGCACTTATTGGATCTCCTTTATTTTCTTTGGTAAATTTATTTAAAAACCACATTAATATTAGTTATTTATATTTTCTTAAAAAAAAAAAACAAGTATGATTTTCTTTTAAAAATCAGGTGCATTGTGTTATTATTATGAATTTACATTAAATAACATTTTTCATGTTTATTCCCATATACCTTTTTTGCACCCTAGATTATAACATTTATTAATTTAAATTAAACAAGGAACATTTTTAATTGTTTTATTATGTAAATAGTTTTTGGAACTTATATTTATTCTACACCATAAGCATTTATAGCAAATTTCATACTCTAGCCAACATGATAAGCATCCTGTGCCTCGGTAATTGTTTGTTTTTGCACATGTGGCCAGTGTGTCTTAGAAAGGGGAAAATAATGTACCTCATCCATAAAACCATTTTCATTTCTTCTCTTGTAGGCTGGAGAATAATACCTATTGAATATAGGCTATTAATTTATTACTTATATGTGATCATTTATTTTACAGAATGATATCATTAAAAATAAAGATGCATCAATGCTACCTTTTCCAATGATTTCTTCTGGAGCTTTTGTTGCATTCTTGTGGTTAATTTACGGGTTGTTAATAGACAACATTTTTATTAAGGTAAATAAAAAATCTTTTTTCAATATGCATTTATACTTAAGTTCTTTCTTTTTCAGGTTCAAAACATAGTTGCTGTTATATTGTGCTTGATACAATTAGGATTAATATTCAAATATCCTAAACCAGAAAGCAAGAAACGTGATTAATTAACATAGTTAATAATTTAATGTAGCATTTATCTATGTGTACTGTGATTATCTTATGGGTCCTTTAATATTATATTAATATAATATTCTTACATTTCCATTATTTTGAGTGCTATTTTATGTACTTAATTAGTGATTGGTAAGCTTTAGATTGTTCTTAAATTCCAAAATGTGATTGTCAAAGTAATAGATATTAATTACGTGCCATCTTTTGTTTTAAATAGCTATAATTACTAAATATTAGCATACAAATTACAAATAGTCAAAATCATTCCAATAAACTAAATTAATTTAGTTACTTATTTCATTGTTGTGTAGTTGTTTAAATTATTGTAATCATAAATAAAATTGTAGGTATTAAATGGCTTGTATTACAATAATTAATTAATTTTTTCAAACAAACTCACACATTCTTCTATATAATAATTTATTTTTGATTGGTACATGTAAATATTGTGTATCTTTTTGAAATTAAATACCTAAGTTGAAGTAAGTACCTACTCAGTGAGATTTGATACCAACCAATCAAGTGTGTTGGTAGTCAGTTGTTGGAAGTGGTTGATTTTATTAATATAATAACTACACGTCTACACCTATGTTGTAAAAAATATTTGAACTTTGCTTGAACATTTAATACAACCTATCATAAATAGTTCATATTGTAACCCAAAATTCTAAAAGTATACAACCACAGTTTTTTTTTATAGTTTATTTTCAATTTCAAATTAAGACAAAATTAGAACTATAAAGAAGAATAACAATTTCAGTTATTACCAACTAATGAAACCTACTGTATTATTAATGTCTATTTGCAAAATAAACAAGTTAACAATAATATCATAGAATATTATACATAGTAGGTAATAAATAATAAAATTCTGACCTGACAAACTGTTTTTCTTACTTATACAATGATCTTGCATCATTGACGGCACATCGATATCCACTTGCCCGCTTTTTTATTTTGAAAAGAACAAGGAATTTTTTAGTTTTGACCTCCCATAAGTATCTACTAAACTGTCTAAACTAGATCCAATTTGGTATCAGAAACTACCTTCAAAGAGTCAAAGTTGAAAATGAAAGTATTATTTTTACTTCCCCAATAGGTGATGACTGATAATGACATACCGGTGAAATAAACCCATAGTTGTAAAATCATAGCTCCACTCAGCATCTAAAAATTGTCATAATATTGCAACACTATTATTTTAGAGTCTAAATTTTAGATATAGAAAAAAAGTACCCTATAGGTATGGCCGTATGGGCCATACGTTGTTGCCCCATAAGAGGACGTTACACAGGTGATGAATTTTTACTTTAATAAAATGTGCATTGTTGTAGATCGAGTTCTATTAAAGTATAAAATATTAAAATATAAATTCTATATGAAATTAGATATCATACTTTTGTTAGTTGACTATTGCAATTCAATCAGTGCCGTGGCTAGAAGTAGGAGGACTTCATAGCTTAAACCCCCCCAAATATCAGACCTACTATACCGGGTATAGTACCCTTGTCCTAGCCATAAAATATTGAACTCCCTCCCCACCCCCAGCCGATAAATATCCTGGCGACGGTAATGAATTGTATTGCTGTTCTATAAATAAAAATTGCTGGTTATTTATAGGTTGCTTATCCGTCTTCTCGAGTTTAATTTAGTATTTAGATTTAGTCAATCGTCAAGGCTTAAATGTAACAAAGTCTCCTTAACTTGTTTAACTCGAGATAATTAAGAGTGGCTAATTTTTTATGAGTTGTGAAAGAAAACTGCAGCTACAAAAATAAGACCCCTAATTAACAAAATACATACCTAAGGGATTACTCATGACCAAGTGGGATCCAATTATAAAGAAATTCGTTCGCCCCAACCGGTGTGAAAAAAAAATTCACCTGGGGGTTTGCAACAATATTCATTACCCCGGTATAATTTTACACCGGTTTTGGAACATTGAATTTATAGTTTCTACCACAAATGTATGTGGATATCATTATTTTTTCCGGTAGAGTAATAATTAGTTCCAGTATGCTGCTGTTCAATACGCGCATTTAATATAACATGTCTTCTTCATGATCATGACGTGTCTAGTAGGTACCAGGGGCGGTTCCAGAGACATGGTTGCTAAGTTAAAATGTTCGATACTATAAAAGGTTTTTTTTAAATTTTGTATTTAACAGTAAACAATTTTAAGAAATACAGGCTCGTTAAGGGGCCATAGACCCTAGCCCCCCCCCCATGAAGCCATCCCCGACTAGTACAGTAACTCCTAATACCAATGTCTACTCTATGCATTATTATTTATTAGTCATCTGAGATACACGGACGCTTTCTTATCATATACACCTGTTATCAAAAAGTTTTTGCATAATCGCATTATTTACTATTTTACTATAATATTTTGTTGTCATGAGCTTGTTATGAAAGTGACTTTATAATTATAACTACGGCACATAATTACGGACCAGGTGCAAAGTATTAGGTATTGCAAATTGAAAAATGGACTGAGTGAAATGTTCTTTCGAATAGACTGCTCCTATTCGAAGATTCTCGCGGGCGTCTAAATTGAAAATGTTGACCACGAAATGAATTGTTATGGACGAGCAACAATCAGTGTCCGAAAGCGTGGAGACGAGTTCCATATGCGAAGAAGAACGGGCGAGGAAACTATTCCAAGCCTGTGATGGCGATGGCGATGGTTACATCGATAGGTAAAAAAAAATACTATTAGTATTATGATTGTGGTTCATTGTATATGTCTTGGTTGATCTTACTGGCCAAAGGAAGATCACAGGAATAAGAAAAATGATGATAGATGTGATTTATGAATGCCACAACGTGATCAATCTACCAATTAGTTATTCTGATTTGATGTATTAGTTTTATAAATCCTGAGCAGTTATGTGATAGGTGTCTCCTGATAATATAGCCTTTTAAAAATCGCAGAACATGCAAGACTTCGTATTTTATTGATTTTACAGATTTTATTTCTTAAATCCCTTTCTCCCATAAAAATATCACTTATTAGTTAATTTGTGTAAATATTGTGATTTGTTTTCTATATTTTTAGTCGAGATCTGTTGACTATATGTCGTCAGCTAAATTTAGAAGACAGTGTTGATGACTTGATGAAAGAATTGGGTGCTGATAAATCTGGTCGTATATCTTTTGATGAGTTTGTTAGACGTCGTTTGGAATTAAGAACAGAAATCAATGCACTTCGTGTTCACATCTATGACCCATTGCCTGAATACTTGCCTACCAGTAGTGATAATAGTTTGGGTAAGATTTATAAACATTCGTTCAGTAAACATTATTTTTAACCAAACTACTTATATTAGGAGCATTATCTGGCGGTAAACACGAAAGCTGGGAATTTGATAGTGGAGCTAGAGACCTAAGCCCTGAACCGAATTCTGTTCGTATGCAACATCTGCTACAAACAGGAGGATCAGCTAACTCTGGAAATTTACTGCATCTTGCAAATAAAGTAATAATATTCTATTTTAAATTGTATTTACCTTATACAGTTATAGGTGTATCAAAACTAATTTTCTAAACTAATATTACATTTTAGTTACATTTAGCTGCATTGAAGTCATTGAAAACTGAGATATCAGATTTAACTAAACAATTGCAATTGGCCAATGAAAAAAATGACATTCTCGAAACATCTATAAATCAAATCAAAGTAAAACTTACTCTTAATAATTATTTATAGATATATTTTATTATTAAAAACTATAATATTTAATAATAATTCAATTACTGTGCAGATTTCAACAGAAATTGATGTAAAACAGAAATATGAAGAAAGAATTACTGAATTGCATTCAGTCATTGCCGAGCTCGCCCGTAAGTTACAAGTACAAAGGTCCCAAGTTATTACTGAAGAAATAGAAGAAAGCCAATCTGGTAATATTGCATTTCAAATTTGGGTTCGTGTGAATTATTTTTAATAATGTTAATTTTTTTAGAAATTGATGGACAAAGTATTGAAACATCTTCATTTATTCAAGAGTCCATTGTTTTATCTAAAGAAGTATGTACAAAAGATATTTTACTTTTATAAATATTAGTAATGTTAGAAGGCGAATATATTTCTTTCTTTTATTTTTAGAATAAGTCATAATAAAATAAATATTGTGTACAACATCATCAATATTTATAATATATAGTCAATATGTTAGATGACACTGTGCAATTAAAATAAACATTTTGAAAACATTTTTTATTTTATAGTACAAAATTTATATAATTTTTTATATTTCACTAAAAATGTTGGTAGCTTTGAGTTGTATTTTTATGGGTTTTATTCCTTGTACATTATAAACATTTTAAAATTGATAAATCTCAAGCACTTATAAGAACACTATACCCTTAAACCAGATTATGTGATTCCTCGTATTACAATTTTACTACATAGCAACTTTATGTTCATCAAAATCAATTTTGAGTTGTTAGCTTTAGTATTAGAGTAAATTGATCTATTATGTCAAACCAGGAAATACATCTGTGTTTCGTGTAGATTTCTGTTGTTATATATCAATTTTGAGGAGAACTATGAATATGTAAAATACTACTATTTAAAAATCTAGCTTATATTTTATACACAATTATTCTTTTTAGGGCGACAGTGCAGCTTGTTTTGATGACCATGAAACCAAGAATCATAATATAATATATACTGATGTACATACTAAATTGGCTTTAAAAGATGAAGAATTGAAGAAAACCAGACAAATTTTGAAAGAAGTAACTGATGAAAAGGAAAAATTAGTATTAAAGGTAAAATTCTATTTATTTATGAAACATGATACAATATCTCCCTACAAAATTCCATATAACATTATACTGATACACACAATCGTGTGGAATATATAAACAAAATCACACAATTGTATTTAACTAAGAAATGTTTTCTTGGATTTAAAATAAAAGTTGTATAAATGTCAGAAAATAACATTAACAAGGATGTTCTACTAAAGTGAAAACATTATTTTTTTCATATCTTTATTCCTAGGAACCTTTGTATTATCTTAACACATTTTATTATTTTAACATTATATTTCAATGGCTTAGCATAATAGGTATTCTTTTTTAGTAAATATATCATATATTTTACTTAATAAAATATAAATATTTTTATTTTATTTTAACTATTGAAATTTATGAGCAATATTAATTATAATTATAGCTACAGGATACAGAAAGCAGTTTTTCATCAGGCCCAATGTCTCCATCTCGTTTGTTAATGGAAACATCTAAACTAGCCGAAAAAGTAAAACTGCAAAAGCTCATTGAAGACAGTGCAGAAGCCAACCTTGAAGGCACTAGTGTATGACTATTAATTATGTCTTTGGTCCATTTATTTTAATTATTTTATCAAAAAAATTTTGAAATTTTAGATTTGTCAAAAAGCTATAGCTGAACGTCTTGCATCAGCTGCAATTTCTGATTGTGATTTATTAGAATCTGGAGACAAAGAAGTTTTGATGTGCCAAGTTGAACAGTTGCAAACACGTTTGGATCATGTACGTTCACAAATGGCAGTTCTTGAGCTTATGTTTGAACAATCAGCTGCTCAAACTGACAAGTAAGATAATTTACGTCAAATTGTAATATTTTATGGTACTTGTATTTTAATAGAATTTTGTGTTGTGTATATTTAAGGTTATATTTAATATTGGGAAAATATGAATCAAACATGATTGCACTAAAGTTGGAGGTAGAAACAGGCGAGGAAATAATGAATTGTTACTCATCTTTATTGTCCATCTATGATGGTTCAGCAAACGAAGACGAGAAAATGTGATTAATTACTTTTTTTTTTTTAATTTTAAATGTTGTGTATAAAAATATTGTTTGACATTATAAATTTATTTTTATTGGATAGGATGAAAGACGAAATCATAGAGTTGTTACATAATTTAGACGAAGAAAAGAAAAAAATCGGGTCAACAGTAGTTGCTTTAGAATCATATCATTGTGAGGAAGAAACAATCAAACCTAGAAGTCGTAATCAAGTAACTCGCATTGACTTAGAAATGGCAGTTCTTGTACAAGAATTGATGGGAATACGAGAAGAAAAGTGTGAACTTCAAGAACGTTATGTAGCATTGCAAAAACATAATTGTGAGATAGAAAAACGTTTAGCAGAGTGTGAAGAACGGTCTAAAATAGATTTAGATACAATCCAAGCATTAGAGCGGCAATTGTCATCTGAGGACATTGATAGTACTGCTGGTGTAAATGTGAAGCTACAGAAACAGTTGAAAGATGTTACAACAGCATATCAACTCGCAATAAGAAATTCTGACACTAGACATAAACAAAATATTACATTGATTGAAAAACTCCGCAATGAAAACACGTAAGATTTTTCAGCTCTACAAATTGTTATTATGTTTAGTTATAAAATATTTATTTTTTAACCATAGAATGCTTGAACGTAATTTGGAAAGAGCTAAACGTAAATCTCAATCGCGTTTAAAGAAATTGGAGTCTGAAATTGAAATTATGGTCAGCACACACACTCTTCAGGTAACGTTCACCGATAAGTTTAATAAAATCTTTGTACTCTATTGTGAATATACACGATTATATTGGTGTTTAGGTGAACAATTTAAAAGAAAGAATTGCTGTCCTGGAATCAACAATTCTAAGTAATGAAATCAGTAAGAGAAACGAAACTACTTTATGAACCTTAAAAAATCATAAATCTTAATATTTTTTGTGCGATATTTTTTTTATTATATCCTTAGCTTGAAATTAATGAGCATTGCTAGGCTTTATTTCAGTTCCTTTGAATATATACTTAAGTACAATATAGTAAGTATCTGTAAGCCGTAAAATACCTATATTTTATGATCTAATGGTATGACTATATTGTGAATAATCCTAGACATTTATTAAGCTACATAATAATAATACTAAATATTAGTGTACTTATTTTTTACGACTTACTATTAACAAATCAAATTATATAATTATACATACCTAGTGCAATTTATCAAAATGATAGTAAGACTATCAAATGTATTTGATACTCAAGTTTTTTATGTGTTTTTAAACATAGTTTATAAGTTTGATGTAGGCAAAATGCTTTATTTTATAATACACACTTTTTATACTTTTTTTTACATGAAAATATAAAATTGTGAAAAATAATACATGAGAATGTCGTTATTACTTATTCTTATACCATAAATGTTCTTAAATACTTTATACATAGTTACGAAAAAAGTTACAATCACATTTTTAATCAGTTTCCATTTTTTCTGGATTGGCCAGTTCATATGCTCTTATTTGTTTTTCTAAGTGAGCGCATGCCAATTCTATCTCATAATTCTTGCTCACCAATCCTACCCAATTGGCTTCTAAATCTCGTAATTTTTCGCCAACTTGCATTTGCACATTTTTTCGCTGGAAATTTACTTCTTGAATTTGTTTTCTAAAATAATTAACTCATTAATAAGGCAATAAGCACATAACTAAAGTCTTTAAATGTATATTTACTTCAATTTAGCCACTTGTGTCTGTGCAGCTGCTACACATTTTACTAGAACTTCCAAATAAGATTTCCAGGCTTCTGTACCATAATCCATCATAAGCTCTAAGTTGGTGATCCTGCAAAACAAAAATATTTTTTAATATATAATCTATTCTAATGTGGCTTTAGGAAGAAATAGCTTTAGGTCATGGACAGATCTCATATTTCCAGTAAAAGTCTAAGTTAACATCTAGTATAATAAGAACATCTAAATATTGCCTTTATAGATTTGAAGAAGGCCTAAAATTCGGACAAATTTAAGATTACAAACTATGCAATAGTCAGTATTCACACAAAATATATGCTCCGGATACAAGGAGTTTTATCAGATTTTTTTGAAGTTGGTAAGGGATTAACTATACTCCGTTCCAAAAGAGAATATACCAGTCCTGCACACTTTTTTCCTCTTCCACCAGTTATGGTCATCTATTTATTTATTTATATTCAATACGGGACGAGCCCAATTACATTGTTTTTTATTAAATAATAATTAACAAGAAAATTACAATAATGTAAGAATGAATAGGTGACTAGATGATGCTTTGTTGTTACCTGTGATTGTTAATTCAACATTATGAAGTATAGTGATAGGAAGAATTACGTGATGACAAAGAATGGAATTAAATCAAAATCATAACCTAGTCCAAGCCAATGCAGGCAATGTAATAATCTTTGACGATAAAAGCAGAATTTGCAAACAGCATATCAGGTTTTAAAGCCAGCATTAAGGATGTCAATAAACCGGGAAAATACCAATTGTATACAAAGCCCATAGAATAATGGGATGGTAATGATCAGGGTGGGACTGGCCCACCAAGAAATCTCCAGGGAGCTAAAGACAAACTTTGAATAGCTGAAGTAAGTAACTGATCCAGTCTAAAACACCAGTTGTTCTATTAAACTGTAAAATTATCAATGATAACTATTTTATAGTGCTCGAGGTTAGGTTATAAGCTGTTGGGAGCTGTAAAGAAGCCTTAAATAAGCACCTGGTGGCTGCATGTCATAATCTATCTGATGCTGCAGTAAGGGGCTAGTAAATAAATATAATAATAAATTACAATACATATTATTGATAAGTGATAACATTTAAATTTGTTTATAGTATAATTGACACTCGATAACATAGTGTTTTTTGTTTTATAAATTTGCAATTTTGAATGACGATAACAAATTATTATCAATATTATAGTATATAAATAAATACCTAAATGTTGTAATTTGTTTTAATAAAAATATTTTTCATTTTAGTAATAAGTAGATTGATAGATGTATTATAATGAGTACAAGGTGATCCATTTAATAGGGTACACTAAGTATCTCAAAAAGCATTAACTGTATTTGATTTTTTTTTTTTAACTTTTGGATTTATGCTTTTCTAAAATTGTAAAATATTTAAATTTTTATCACCCTTATATTTATTGATGAAACGACTATCAACTCTTGATTTTCAAATGGGTACATATGATAAAAAGGTCATGAATTAATAAAACCATTTTATTTATGAATATTAGCTATAACATTATTATTTTTCGTAATTTGGTTTGCGATATACAGCTCCTCAAAGTTTAGTGTTTTAAGGAGGTGTTGATTTTACTATTGATTAATTTGTAAAAGCCAGGTGATAAAAGTTATAAATTTGATACCATTCAACCCAAGATAACAATTAATAAGTGATAACTATTGTACTTTGAACCCAAATTATCGACTAATTAGACATACCGAATTATAACAAATGATTAGTAGAAAACTGGTTATTTGGATAACTGGATATTTGCTTTAGCACTACCGACTATAACATCTCCTTAAACCACCAAACTTTGAGGAACTGCATCTCACAAACCAAATAACAAAAAGTAAAAATTTTAAAGCAAAAATTCATAAAAAAAAATAGTTTTTTCAATTTATGATCTTTTTATTACATATTCCTATTTGAAAATCAAAAGTTAAAAGTGGTTTCACCAATAAATATAAGGATGAAAAAAAAATTAAAATATTATACTGTTTGAGAAAAGCACAGGTAAGTCTAAAAGTTTAAAAAAAAAAAATTCAAAAAATGTTAATACTTTTTGAAATAATTAATTTACCTCTTAAATGGATCACCCTATATATTAAATATATCACGTTATATTAAATTACATAAAGCATTAAGTTCTAAAGGTATGTGAACATGGCAGCAGAGCCCCCCCCCCCCCCACAAGTCTGTTTCATTTAACTATGGAAAGGCCGCCCAAGAAAAAAACTAAAATTGGGCCTATGCTTAAAAGTGTATGGAATATCCTTTCTGCAAGAACATTTTAAGCACTTCGGGGTCAACATACCTAATATATAAAAATCAATGGAAAATGTTTCTTAAAAAAATCCTCCGAACGACTGCACCGATTTTTATCAAATTGTGTGTGTATATTAAGTAGGTCCCAGAGAGTGATTTGAACTATTTTTCCTACCCATAGGTGTTAAGGGTGGCTCACACAAAATATTTTTTAATATTAAACGTGTAAATTGTATAATAATAATAATAGTAATACGCACTGAGCGTACCACAACACTATAGTTACAGAATGTTAGTATCAATATAATTTTTAAACGATAAAATACATGCAATTGACATAAAAAACATGACAATGTACACGTTTATTTTAATTAATAACTAATTTTCTTAATTTTTTAGTGGAAATTAGTATTTTTTTTGTTTTTCGGTTGCCAATGTTTAATTGGGCAGAACAGGTTTAAGCCTGCATCATATCAAATCTTCGCACATAGTCTACCAAGGAGGCTGAGTTGCACTTATAGTCGCTCATCGGAGTGTCCACAATCAAAATAAAACATATCCTTTATATAATCATATAGATAGTAATATGGTAAGCACATAGCGGGGTCTGCAATCTACCGCAGGTGGATTGCTTACCTGATAATGTACTACTCGAATTATCACCATCAAGTCTCTTATATAGAGATGCAATAAAGTGCACGGGATCAGCTAATATAAATAAAATAAAAATGTATTTATGTTGACCCAAGAACTGCATGCATAACAAAATAAAAATCGATCTGTAAGCTGGTAATGGATGTTACTTTACTATATTCCATCTTTATAAAACAAAATCATTGAAAACAAAATTAAAAACCAAAGAAAAATTATAAACTAGGTACATATGTTAGACCAGTTGTGCGTAGGCAACAACAGATGAGAAAAAATTAAATCTTTGAGAGAAGTGAAAATAAGAATAATGTAAGGACAAATCTATAACTTTGGAACCAGGTATGGAAGAGAATGAGAATTGAGGAATAGAAACAAACACATAGAAAAGGAAGTATAGTTCAATTTAAGAAAGGTGTAAAAATGGAACGGACAGGCCACATGCTCATATCTAGAAACAACAATAGTAGGTATATATACAAAGCACATGGTACAACATCAATAGAAAAATATGTAGTTAAGAGAGACATGATAGATCTGATACAATGAACTAGGTATCAGGGCCTGAATCAGGTGTATGACAGGAAAGAGTAGAAGAAATTGGTGTTATAAGCTAAAGGCCTAAATGGTTTGAAACCTTAAAAGTAATGTATATATATGTATATATATAATGTACCTTGTAGCTTGATGTTCGAGTTGGGCCATTGAGTTTTCTAAGCATTCATTCCATGCAGACATATCCGTGAGTTTTCCAGCAGGTGGTGGAGGTAGCTCATAGCGTTTCATACTCATTGTTTCCATAGGTAAACGCTGCTGAAGTCTATCAAACTCTGTTCGCATCATTTCTGTCTATTGAACATTGATCGTCATCATTAGAAATTTATATAATTTTAAAAAATGTATGTAAATGATGTTTTGAGTAATTCAATTAGTAGGAAAGTATATCAGAATTAAGAAATCCTCAACATTGAATACTCTGCAATGGGGAATACTAGTTTATTAACTATGATTATCGGACTGTAATGGAAACACAGAATATTTGATCTTAAAATAAAAAATAATTACTTCAAACGCCGATATATTAAGTGGTGGCAAATGTTCTAGATAGTTTTTCGACGGTCTGTAACGACGTTTTTCGTCTTCTACCATACTGATCGCCTGCAAGTAAATTTAACGGCATAATACCAGTGTTAGTCACAAAAACAATTAAGATGAAACAAATCTTCTTACAGCTTCACGGATGCCCGGCTCGTCGTACCCTTGATCAATGTACGGAAGAGCATCGACGATAACTTCGCCAGCCATTGTTTGAAATGCCGGAGTTAATTAATTTTAAAAATCCAAAAGCCTAAAAATTCGAGAATCGAGTCTAAAACACGAACAACAATAATCTCGATTCGTGGCCTAAAGTTAACACTCAGAACCCGCCGGTTATTACTACGAAAACTTCGGTGATGTATTGATGTTTGATTTAAATATCCAAACTTCCCAACTGATAGCGATTGTAAATAAAACACTGGCGACCAAACCTGATAAGCTGAACCTGGCGCACGCCGGCTTTTTGTTTACCGTGGTTTGCGTCCAATTACCATCAACGTGATTATCAACTTTTCTGCAAACCGTGATAACTTACTGATAAACAAAGGACTGCCACAGAATCATGGCGATCGCGATCCCATACGGCTATCCTACAATAGGTATAATAATTTATTCCCATGTTTTGCTGATTTTGTATTTTTGTGGTTCGACGAATGTGTAATATATTATACAGTAATAGTTGGCAGTATGTGTAGTTTTACCGCGAACTGTGAGCGAACTGCTATGAGTTCGTCATATTTTGACAAAATTCGCTAATTATTTAGTGGTAAAAAATGCTTGATATTTCCAATTTGTAGCTATGGCGGCTCGGAAAGTTGGAACTTAAAATAGAAGGTATTTCTATTTCGCTGTTGGTGGAAATAAAGTCCAGGCGTGCGCCATACAATTTATTGTATTATTTTATATTTTTAAAATATTTCGTCGATTACAAAATTCTAAAAAGCATAATACAATAATACTGAATAGAAGGTACTTAATATAGATAACAGATAATAATAATAAGTAATAACTTATAGCATAGAATAGTTAATAGCCTAGTTACATTCTTAGGGTGACCGCACACTGGTAAAGCAAAATTGACTGAAGAAATGTAAGTCATATTTAGTCATTTTGCTTTAGTCATAATAAAGCATTGTTGTCGCTCACTAGATAAAACATAGTCAAATCAAAGTATATCAAGTAGTCGTCAAAATATCGCCCGACGAGGAGGACGCTGCTATTCCTATTTTATGGTTTCTTTTAAGAGAAATTGAACAGGAAGAAAATAAAAAAAAACTTTTGGTTCATCCTTTGAACTTGAAACGAACTGAAAATAATACAATTAAATGTTTTATTCATGAACTTTGAAATTACGAATGTAAATTTAGACATTTTACACGAATGAGTACTGATACGTTTGATTATAATCTAGAAATACTTAACGATGAAATTCGAAAAACTGATACTAATTTCAAAAAAAGTATCACTCCAGAAGAGAAATTATTGGTGACATGGAGGTAAGTTAATAACAAATTCTAAATAATTAGATATTAGATTCTGAGCGGAGCATAGCGAAATAATGTATTGATTTTAATATGATGTAAAAAAAAAAATTGTTTATCTTATACAATGAATTATCATTGAATTAAATTATAACATATCCATTACAACGACATGCTTGACAACTACTGAACAGAAGAGCGGTACCCACTCAGCCAACTTTTTATACATTTTCATTTTTTCGCTCCGCTCAGAATTTAAAATATAGCAGATAGTATAAAAATAATTCTTTTAGACTTGCGAATTCTCTTGAACGTATTACTTTTTATTGTTATAATATTATTATAATAAAATAAGTTAACACTTAATAAGGTTATAATTAATTTTTAACAATATAAAAATGATAATTTATTATACTGAAAAATCAACTGTATTAATGCAAAATATAAGAACTTGAACTATCCGACGAGGAGAAATCTGGAGAACTCGCAATGTACTCAGGTATAATATTAGAATGTGGCGCATTATTGTATCTTGGCGTTTCATACGACGTTTCTTGGATGTCGATAAGCTTATCAATGGTATTTAATACAATTTTTTTGAATTGACGTTGATTTTTATCATTTAATTTTAAATACTTTAAATAATACTTTAAAAAAAGAAAGTTCAGGTGTATCTTCATTAATTTTTTTTGGTTGAGTTCTTGTCTTTAGAAATTCCAACATCGGTTCCACCACTCTTTCACTGGGTAACATTTTTCGGTTTGTTCTTGGTTTTTTAAATAATGGTTCATTACTAGATTTTTCATTTTCTGCATCTTCAGTAACTATTGTGTGTGAAATCACTTCTTGTTCAACTGTTTCTAAATTTTGTTCAGTATCTGACCCTATAGGTTCTTCAACGAAACTATCGTTTTCTAAGTTATCTATATGCAATGGCGCAACTAGACCTCTGAAACGCAGGGTGCTCAATCTGTGAATGCATCACAGAGTTGTGGGGGGGGGGCAGAGATACCCACACCCCCCTGCCACTAAACCTACAATACTCGATAAATCAAAATTTTAAAATACCTACACGGCTGTATATATATTACATTATTTATTACACTATAGTGTAGTAGTATAATATAATCACACAATTTTTTAGCAAATACTGCATCCTATTATAGAATAACATTGTTTGATAACATATTAATTCAAAGCCCAGAGAGAATATTAAATTCACGATTAAAGTATCCATTTTTTATTACTTCTGTAAATTTCAAAGCCTAATTTTGAATTTTTTCATGTCTCGATACTTCTAGAGTTTTACATTAAGTTATAGTTTAACCGTGAAGACTAAAAACAATATTGTGAGATGCCGGACAAAAAAATGGACTCGCGAGTCGCGACAGTAGTGTATCTAAATGGCCTATACGCAGAGTTCCGTGTTCTGAATTGTTTAGATTTAAACACTCCGAATAATATTATGTTTCGGAATCTGTAATAAAAAATGTATCGTGTCATCCAAAGAATTCAAAAACTCGAAAACCGATAGCAACATATTATATTATATCTATCATCTATGGCAAAAGCCGATCGTCGTCACTCGTCGGAGACGATTCACAATTCTAATAATTTCATTGAACAAAAGAAATGTGTAAGGCAACAATAAACATTTGCTCACATATTTCATTCTACTCAAGTAGTTTTTATAAAAAAATCTCGATTTTTTCAGTTCGGGTTTATATGAAGAAAGAAGTTCCTCGATATGGCGCCTGCGCTCCAGATAATATGTCCTTGCAGCTATATATTCCCCGAACAGTCGATATACGAAGAGTATTACGTAAGTTTGATTACCTATTCTTTTGGGGCTTACATATTTTACTTTTTAGTCTCAAAATTAAAATTTATTGACACAGACAATTTGCTACCCGAGTAAAGTAGGGGCATATTTTTTGTTCCCGAGCGCGCAACACAAAAAAAATACGCTTATAGCACAAACGACGACGGCATATCCAGGTCGCAGAATAATAACATATTTATACAATTAAATAGATATAAATTGTGTTGTACATACTAGTCATACTACAGTAGTACAGTACACGGGAGTTCTTATGTCCCGCAAAATTCAACAATTTTTATTTTTAGTTTATATAAATGTTGAGAAATATATGAATATTACTATGCCGTCTGCTTGTGGTCGAACCGCGAATTAAAGTGACGCCGTCGTACATCAAACATCAAATTATTTTATAAAGCTGGCAAAGTTGCTCTGCTGATTATTGAATATCTATCGGAAATTAAATAGGGAAATTTTAAATTTTAAATAATCTCGAATAGCTTAAAATGTACCTAACCAATGCACTCAAAATATACAAAAAATATTAATTATTAATTTCGTGCTCGACAGTATTCAGAGAAAATATTTAACTTGGAATTTTACTAACTATAGTTGGTATAGTCGATGTACGGTAAATGTGATGCATTGGGCACTGAATATCTTTATGTTAAATCTAAAAAGTAGTAATCACATTTATTTACAATAAGATTTTTATTTAATAACTCATAAAAAAATATGCTTGTGCTTCGAATATTTAAACACCACCTTAATTAATTATTAAAATAATAGGTACTTTATATTATATTGTTGTAATTTAAATTTTAAAATTATAAACTATTTTGGTTATTGTCATACCTCATTTCATTATCTTAATGATCAAATCTCAAGCACGGACCTCCTTGATTTACAATTTTGTAATATACTATATATCTATGGTTTTATCATATTGACGTAGTATAAATTATAATTTATAATTATAAATTATAAATTATAACGCAATCCGTGGCGATTGTCAAAGTAGTTGCAAAGACGCAATCGATCTAAAATTTCAGTTAGCAAAGCTGCAGACATGAACATGGAACATGAAGCGATCCGTAAGGTTTTTTTTTTCATAATAAATCTCAATATTTTCAGACTTAAGTTCAGTCGTAGGTATATCTGATTTATTCCGCAGTGCACACACAATATCAGGAATTCTGCCGAAGCCCTAAAGCGTCGATGTTTAAAGTAATTAATTTTTGTTTCATACTTTTTTGGTGCTTAAATTTATTTTTTAAATAAAAATTTAATTTCATGACAAATATGCTACCCCTATGTACACACATATTTTATTTCTGAGAGCAAATGCATAAAATACGAGAGATCAAATAATATTATGTAATAACATAATTATGTAAAGGATTTAGGATTTACTCTCACACGGAACCTGTTCCCTAATATGCATATTCAGATAATATGTTGTAAGGCTCTTAAACTGCTTGGTTTCATAAACCGTGTCTCTTCTGACTTCCACTTGCTCTCCCCTCTAAAAACTCTTTTCTGCTCCCTAGTCCGTCCCATCCTTGAGTATGGTTCCGTCCTCTGGAACCCGTCCACCGCTTCCACACGTAGCATGATAGAAAGGGTTCAAAGAAAATTCCTCCGTCAAGCTGCTTACAAACTAAAGATAGTCTGTCCACCTCACGATTACACGCCAATCCAACGCCTCTTTTTCTTAGAAAGCCTCACCGATCGTCGTCATTCAGCTAACCTGACATTTCTATCCAATCTTCTTTCATCTAAAATTGATAGTCCTGAATTACTATCCCATGTCTCATTAAATGTCCCCTCTCGCTGTACACGATCATCTGTTCCATTTCATATACCTTTCTCTTCCTCAAACTACTATCTTAACTCACCGATCATCCGTCTTATGCGCATTGCCAACACTGACCCTTCATTCTCTCTCTGATATTGAGCCACGTTTCCATAAACTATTAAAACTATTATTATTGTACTATTAAATTCGTGTATTAAAGGGTTCGTTCCGTATTTTAAAATAAAATAAAATAAAATATACAAAAGCCGCTAGTCGTCGTCGTTTTTCTACTCCCTGATCGTAGGGTAATTTTATAATAACTTAACTCAGTTAAAAATTTTCATTAACTAGCCCAGGCATGCAGTTGTTATTATACTAAATTATTTTTTACATATAGGTACTCACATAACATATTATCTAACTCTGAATTATTGCAATAATTATTTATTTTCTTAAACACAATATTTCAGGAATTAATATATTATAAATTAATTAATAATAAAAATAATTGATTTGAACGATATTTATAAAATATTGAAATAAAATAAACCCACTTCCTAATAAGTAATGGTAACTATAGTCCCTGTGTATTATACTATTATTAAAATAAAAATGAACCAGTAGCAGCTGAGTTCTAGTAGATAACTAACTTGCTGTGCCTAGTGAAGAAACATGACTTTCGTAAGGTATAAAACTTATACGTTCTTGAATAAAACAGTTAAGACACAAATTAACACATAATAACTAAGAAAAGGTTAGATAAAAGCTAAAACTTAAAGAGATTATTTTAGCTATATAATACCTGTAATTTCTAATAACAAATAGCTCATACGTAAATTGTTGAACATTTTACTATATAGGCTGCTTTTTTTTCAGAGATGGTATTCGTCTATGAAAATTTGCTAATTTTGAACATAATGTCATATTATGCCGTGTGAAATGTGTTGACGTGAATGTTTCAAAGATTTAGTTGTATATCAGAAAACATGTGGTAGGTATGTCATTTTTATTTTTCAGTAGATTTATTTAATATTGTCAAATGATCAGAGTTTGTATTGCCCCCAACTTTTCAATTTAATTGTTCTGCAACTACTGGTATAACGCTATTCCGGCTATGAATAAAATTAGGAAATTGGTCAGGTATAAAATTTATTTTATTTTTTGTTTTAAATTTTTTTTTGTAATATTTAAATATTTTCACCGATTATCAGGTACGATGACCTGTAGGAACTATAGAGACTGTGTGTGTGAGAGAGAGAGTGAGGGGTAGTGAGATGGAAAAAAGGGGGGAATAGAGAGAGAGAGAAAGAGAGAAATGGGAGGCAGAAAGACTGAGGGTGAAAAGGGGGATAGAGGGAGGGGAGAGTGAGTGAGACTTGTAGGGAGGAAGAATAGGAAGTGTGGAGGTAGAATAGTTAGATTAACAATGTCGAATACGTAGGAAAGGTTCTTGAATCACAAAGGTCACTAGACCAATCAGCTGAAAAACTACCTAGTGATAGGTTGAAAACCTTGACTTATGGGATAGAATAAAAAGATCGGTAGAGGATGTCAGAGCACTGTTTGTTTGCTCTCTGTATCCCACGCACAACAAAGCAATTAATGTATCAGAACCAACCATATATTGTTACTTTAATAATGGTTGGTTCTGCTAAACATAAATTTGCTTTGTTGCGCGTGGGACATAAAGAGCAAAAATAGTGCGTAGACATCCTCTCAAAAGTGTCATCAAGTTGAACAAAAAAATAAGAAAAGACGTATTTCTATGTCAAACCATGGGTTTTTGATCTCTTTTACCCTAGCGTCAAAACCAACCCAATGTTTTATTTTTTTTATTTTTTTTATTTTAAGAAAAACAAAAATTATCTACCACCTTTAAGCACATGCTTGTGATGGTGGTAGAGAGTTATATAACATAATTATAAGTAGAAAAAAAAACTTACAAGAATTTAGTAATCAATACATACAATTAGAATACTTATACTAATATTAAATTACAAAGTTAAAATATAGTAAAAATATTTCGTTATAAGTTATTAAAGTATTGAAAATAACCAAATATGAATTTTTTTTCATTCCTGTAGTAATACGATTACCTTCTGTAATGAATATGTCTTTTTTTATATTTATTGGCATTAAGTTATAATTTTTTGGACCTAGATAATCAATGAATTTTTGACCAAACGTTTTTTTATGATATTCCATTTTAACATCAAATGCTCTATTTTCTCTTTTAACTATTACCTTATTAATATTCAGATATAATTCAAAATTTTTAATTATATATACAATTATTATTTTCTTATAAACAGACTCAAATAGTAACACATCTAATAACAAATATTTTTTTTTAGTTGAACCAGTTAACGTATTTTTACTTACAATGTAGTATGGCTGTTACTATTAATATTAAAAATATATATATAAACTACCTCGGATCGTGGGCAGATTACCCATTACAAGTGACACATTTTTCGGCTGTGCTTTGAAACATGTAACGCATTGAAATAACCTTTAATGGCGCGATATGAGACTTAGCACATACTAGTTGCGATTTAACGATGCCATCCGTATCTGTTGTGTGCAGTGTGCGTATAACATAATATGTTATATCATATATTACGGGCATAGACATAATAATATATTTTTATATCTATGGTTACGGGCAATGTGGAATACCTACCGGACAATGTGTACATTGCCCAGTCAATGTGGTCCTGCCTGGGAAATGTAAACCACGAATTTTTTTTTAACCAACTAATATCATTATTTATTATTATTATAAATTATTATCATTAGTCATTACTTATTTATAGAATAATTTTTTTTTAAAAACAATCATTATTAATTTTATTCATGTACTATAATACGAACGTTTTGATAGAAAAAAAAAAATAACAAGTATCATCATTTTATTTTTATAATTTTACCTATTTATTTGAACAAGTTTTAGAAACATGGCACTTACAATTACATAGTCTGTCTGCTTTTCTATACACTTGATTTTTAAATAGGCAGAACCATAAGTAACAAAAATAAGTTTATACACAATGTTTCGAAAAATTAATAGTTTATTGTATTATGATAAATGAATACAATTAATAAAGATTTTAAAATAAAAAAAAAAATTTTTTTTTAATTTTAATATATTAATATTTTATTTAAAAAAAAAATCAATACTATAAATAGATAATAATAATAAAAAATAATATTCTTTGGTTAAAAAAAAATTAGTGGTTTACATTGCCCGGTATTCCACATTACCCGTAACATAATATATACACGCACCGTGTGCTTTCGTGGATGCATCAGCAAATCCGTGTAATCTCTATTAATTTCTTCTTGTCGGAGCCCAGCTAACGAGGTATACTAAATGAATTGAGCTCGTTTAGACGATTATTGTATGTCTCCCGCTGTACTTGTATGTGTGGTGGAACTGGGCTGTTCCAACCGATTTTCTCACGCCATAAACTTTGTAACAATATTTTACCCACCAATATTACCGGACCTACTAAGCCGAATGGGTCAAATAACAGGGTTTTATCGATTCCACCGTTTTAATATCAATTCCGCCCGATATTTGTTTGTATTGATTCCGCCGGCTACCGATTCCGCCAAGCTTTTTTATTTATTGATTCCGCCGAGCTTTTTTATTTATTGATTCCACCAGCTATCAATTTCGGCGGATATTTGTTTATGTTGATTCCCCCCTTTTTTTAATCAATTGTATAGGTTTAAGATATACTCAATTTACCATAATTTTTTTAAATTTAAACATTTTTTAAAAAAAATTCAAACATTACTAGGCCAGCAAGAATATGTCTTTGTGTTGTTTCCTTTTTTACTTACGGTAGGTACTTGTACTTGTACGAGTAGTAATCATTTTTCGGTTCCCAGTATAAACCTAGAGTTTCCACGCTCTCTCTATCCATTGGTTCGGTCTAACGATTCATTTTTGTTTTGATTCGGAGATAAATCTGTATGGTTCGTAGTCCATTTTGATAATTCAAATTCCCCACCTCGCATAATTGAAATTAATTCGTCACGCAATTCAATTATGAATGCCCCAGTGAGGCAATTGTCGACACAGAAATCATTTTTAATTATTTCTTTCAACTTCGTGTTAGTGGTCTTATCGCCGATGCGATTGACGCAATTTATTGCCAAAAAACCTGCCTACTTGTCCGACATTTGATTACTATAATCTCCATAAGTACTCCAAAAAATATTTTGCTTTAGAATATAAAAAAAAATAATGAAATAATGATATTATCTTACATTAAATTTATCACGCCATATAAAATAACTTTAACAACAATTTTTTTATGACCCTAGTTACACTTCATTCATAATAATTCGACAATTTTTATCCTTGTAATAATTTTTGTAAATTTGTCTTTTCAATAGAAATTAGACAAAATTAGTATATTGAAATGATATTTTATTAAAAAGACGTTTATCAAAGCTAAAAAATAATGATATATAACAAATAATATCAAAATATGTTCGATAAACATGTAACATGTTTAATAAAAGTTAAAAGATTTTAGATACCTTAAATAATAAATTAATCACAGCACATTGTTTAACTTAGATGAATGATAACATTCTATTTATACATTACTCTAAGAAATGAAATGAAATAACTAGTCCTTTAGTAATTTGTTGAGATAAGAGAAAAACTGTGGTTAGGCCCTATAAAAATGGTGTTACAAGATTGGAAGCAACTAATTGTAATATTTACGTATTTAACTAATTCAAATCTTTAATATTGGAGTAAAGTAGTATGTGGGGAGGTGACGAATTTTCTAGTAAAGTATGACTCTTAGTAATTTAAATGTATGTCAAGTATTGGCAAATTTACTTTTTGTTGTTGGATGGGGAGTATTTTAGATTTTTAACCTACTAAAGTTGATACACAAAATTAATGAAAGACAATAATAGTATTAAATGATTACAATAATTTCTGTAGGGGACGAGGTGACCGAGTGGTCTGACGCGTCCGCTGTCGTGGTTCGATCCTCGGCCACCGGGCGGCATTTTTCTCCGGACAAGTCGCGGTGACCGGAGAACAAGTGCCGCCATCCCCCAATCGGGCATGGCAGAAACCTACGGGTGCCCAATAGAAATTCTGCCAGAACAAAAACTCACACGTGTTCCCCACCTACAGTCCCAAACCCTACAGTACCACACAACCTACAGTTAATGGCCTCAGTTGCCGAAGCTTAAATCAAAAAAAAAAAAAAAAAATTTCTTTTAATAGTTATATGAAATTATCACGTGAACTGATATTAAAGCAATATTTCTAGTAAAATACGTATTGCAATTATTATCTTAATAAAACAAAAAAAATATAAACCTGTAATTGGTGTATAATAGATGTAGGTACGGATACTCTTTTACCTGTGTAATAGTTATTTACAATCAAATTGGCATACAAAATAATATGTAATATACATTTGGTACAAAATAAGAAGAATGCAGTTGGAGCTTGGTGTGGTGCGGCGATTGGATGAAGTCCCTAATGGGTGTCAATCATCGGCCGGCGTAGCTAATATCCGGATGGGTGACCACCTGGGTGTTTAGTGACGAATCCTAGCTCCACATACACAAGTGTTACTCGGATCCAACCGTGACCCCTATAAAAGATGCTGTTAGCCATATAGTGCACGGTTTATAGAATCGCTAAAAATTACGATTATTTTAGCCAGTTATTGTCAGTGGAAGGGGAGAAAGTTTATCATCCAGATAATGCTCAAAGAATTTCAAAATAAAATTATTTCATTATGTTATTCAGTTGCTTCAAATCTAGACATCTTCCTAGAATTTCTACAAAACATATGACTTAAAAAATTAATAAAAAGATGTTACTTTCAGAAAGACACTTCATCAGAATGTGTAGTCTCCAATTGTTCAAATGCGTCTTATAAGTGTGAAACATATCAAATTTTGGTTAAGCTGTTATCATTCATCTTCGTTGATTCCAAATAATAATTATTAATTATAATTAATTCCAAATAATCACTCTAATATTGAAACTGTCATAGCTAAATGAGATCTGCTCACATTGATGAGCACTTGTAACACGGGGCCAACACATGCTTATAAAATATTAATACTAACTAGTTACTTCTTAAATGTACATCCAATCATACTTTCAAGACTTCAAGTTGATGCACATATAAAAGTCTTTATCGCCTTTCGCATATGTTGTATGCTTCAAGTTGTTTCAAGTTGTAATAATTAAACAAAAAAAGTTCAACTTGATAAGCGGACACAAAAATAGAAAACCAAATAAGGATCTTTTTATTCTAAGGGTCCCACTTAACCCTCTGTTAGTCACGTGCCAAACGGGGGTGATTAAACTAGCACCCACACCCCCCACACTGTCCAACTCGCATGACTATGCTGTTAAGACAGAGGGTTAAAATAAGTCAAAAGGAGGTTAGTACGCCTAAGGGCTATGGAGAGTTGAAGCTGTGGTGATGATAGTAGGCTAGTGGTAGTATACTATCATCCCTGGTCGAGTGCATTGCAATGATCTTTTCCTACTAACTACCAAGGTATTCGATATTGTATAAGCATAACAATAAAAGAAAATATTTAAATATTACTAAGATAAATTAGAACTTAATTAAGCATCATCATTTCAAATTTGTATCCACAGTTTTAAAGCCAGTCGGCTAGCGTTGTACCAGTACTTATAATTAATAATAACTTAAATACAGTCAATACTAATTAGTGATTTGTCTAACACAAAAAATTATAAAAACTAATTTAAAAATTCTAATGTATCAAAAAATAAAACAAAATCTTAATTAAGAAATAATGAGAGTTGATGGTATGAGGAGTTATTGTGAGGTTATCAGTATTTATTTATTCATTCGTTTTAATTTAATATAAGGTTAAGTGTATTAAAATAATATTGACTTAGAATTCCCAAACTGCTTTCTTCTAACTTCTTTCCACATTGCACATAATCTATTTTTTCTAACTTATTAATTAAGACCAAAACAAAAATACAAATATTCCTATATTTGAATTTTTTGTATACTTTTTCAAAATATATGATAGTTACAGTTTGAAACACAATATTATTTTAATTCAAACATTAAACTATTTAAGTAAAAAATAGCTTTAACGTAAATGAGCCCTTAGAACTCTTAAACATTAATTTCTTGTATCCATAAACACTTTCATTCAATAAACACATTATTATATTGTACTGAGGTAAAGTCAATAGAACTCTGATCATATTTTTTCAAGTTTTTTCATAATTAAGCATAAAATAGCATAAAGCTATGAGTTTAGGAATACTGATACTGTAGAATGCAGTCTTTAATATTTGTTTTTAATGTACATTTTTTATGCATTTTTTAAATTTGATTCTAAAAATTCATTTGCATGCGGGCTCTAATGCACCCCTTCCCATTCTTTTTTTTAAATTTTTATTCTATCATATTATTTTATAATTTTTTTTTTTTTGATTCTTAAAAATCATTTGCCTGCGGGCGCCCATGCACCCCTTCCCATTTTTATTTTTAAATTTATATTCTATCATATTTTTTTAGTATTTTTTATTATTTTGATTCTTAAAATTCATTTGCCTGCAGGCGCCCATGCCTCCCTTCAAATTTTTTTGTTTCAATTATTTAACTATAGTTCAATTTTAAACCCATTTTTTAAATTTTGATAACAAGTTGGTACCTCATAAAAATTCATTGTTTCATTATCTGATTATTGACAATAAAGCTATATGTTTCAGAGTACTGATTTTGTAGAATGCAGTCTTTAATATTTGGTTTTAATGTATGTTTTTTCATTCATTTTTTTAATTTTATTCTTAAAATTCTACAGCCCGCGGGTACCCATGCTCCCCTTCAAATTTTTTTTTCTAAATATAAATTCTATCTGATATTTTTATATATTTTTTTTATTTTTTAAAGAATTCTGCAGTTCAATGTGACACTCATTATCTTTTGAATTTCCACTGCTTGAAAAACTTTATGTAGAAATCCTAGATTAAAGTAAGTAAAATAATGCTTCAAATAAGTGTTTTAAGTTGCTTAAACATATTTTGAACTAATATATTATAGTTAAAATATTTAGTTTGTACAGTTGTTATAGATATTTAAATTTTTTCACAAATTATTACTTAAAAATAAAAACAAAAAATAAAATAAATGTTTTCAATCCAAAATTACGTATTTCAGTACTTGTAGTTATAGTGCATAATGTATAATATATAATATATAATGTATACCTAACCTTTATATCATGGGCGTAGATAAGGGGGGGGTTTTGCGTGTTCAAACACCCCCCGAAATTAAATAAAACAATCTTGAGCTTTTTGTGAATTTGTTCGAGAATATTATTAACTGGAATATTATTTAGGATTTAGACAAAAAACCCCTCCGAAAATATTTCCTACCTACGGATTTTTTTCCTAGGTGTGTTTATTTTTATGGGTTTTTTTTCACCGATTCCTACTTCGTTGATGTAGTATACTACCTACCTACATACCAAAATGAAGTTTACGGGTATTTTATAATTTATAATAAGGTAATAGGGCAAATACCGCCCTTGAGCTTATTCTATTCAAGTTTATTACATTATGGCTTGTGATAACCAATTGTTGTATTCAGCTTTACCTTTACGTATCGCTATAACTTATAACGAATGTCCCGCACCATTGTGTCAGATTACTTCGAGTATACAAAGATGACGAGAAGTATATAGAAGAGTGTTTAAGTATAGTGTAGAACAAGTGTAAATATACAAAATGTTGGACGTTAATCTACAACAATTTTTTTATGAGAGCCTGATGGTCAAATGTTGATCAAATTCGTCAAAATCATGAAAATTTGCAAACTATTTTGAATTAGGAATTCATAGTTTATATTATTTTAGCCAATGTTTAAAAATGTAATACGAGATTCCTCATAAGTTGTTCTACCTTGATCGGTCTTAGGTTTAGTAATTAGTAATTTAGTGTACTCTCATAAAAATTTATAGGAACACCTTTAAGTACAAGTGTAGCTGGTCACAAGTATGAAGTATTGTTACCTTTTTTTTTTCGTTGAATTTTAACTAAATGAGAAATAAATAATTTGTTCGTCTAAATATCAGTAAAATCAATATAGGTAATGAGTTTTTTTTTAAAATTATTATTAAAGCTATCAATATAAAATTATTACAGTAAGTATAATGATTAATGAATTAAAAAAAGTTTTTGGTTCCTTCATATTTGTTGTACTAGAAAATGAGTTTTTCATAGATAACCATCAAAACTTAGCAAACAATTTATTTGTTAATCCTTTATTCCTTATAAGAGTATTCACTGTACAAACACAAATTTACTCTACAACTTTTACATAAAGCACTGCAAACTACACCAATACCACGTACAAATGTGTAATAGCATGATATCATGTTAACTAATAAAGCCAATCGATTATTGAAAACTTTAATATTTGGTCTAATTACATAGGGATAGGTAATTAAATATACAAGACAAATGACAATGTTGGTGTCTGATAACATATTAAAACAGTTAAACAAATTAACTTGTCTAGAAAAATAAATACATAAATGTATCTACACTAAAAGTGATGAAACAAGAATTCATTATTGAACACAACATTTTGATTTTTATTAGTTAGTATATTATTTAAAGTTTGAGAATAAATAACAGTAATATGTTTAAAAATAAAATCAATATTGTAATGAAAAATAATAATTATTAAACTAAAGTGCAGAAAAATAAATCATAGGATAAATGTAAATAACATATTATGATTGAATAAAGAATTGAATTTAAAAAAAAAATACAATTAATAAAACATTATAGGCTGTTTTATGTCTGTAGTTATTATTTTTGATGAATAACATCCGCTGCCTTTTATTATTATTTATTAAACACAATTTTGCAATTTTTTTTAATGAATTTAGTCCAATTTAACTATTATTTTCAGTGAATATATCTTTTCTTAAGCTGCTTCTTTTGCCGATCCTGTAAAATAAAAATTAATAGAAATGTACTAATTGTAGAAATTATTTTTCATAAAATACTTATTAGTCCAACCAATATCTGTTGTAGAGGCTTTAATGGATACAACTTTATTTTGTCAAGATTAAAACTAGTATTTGGATTTGTTTTTATTGATTCATTAAGAAAGCATTAGCATCTAAGAAATTTATTGTTAATTCTATTTACTTTTGTTTAATGTACAGTAAAGTGATTATAAAAAAAAATTGCACATCATATTAGAGCTAACAATAAGTAAATAGTACTTTGAAATCTATTTACAATTAAAAATTTATTTTAAAAATAAATTTAAAAAGTAAAACAGTTGTGTTAAAAAAATATTACCTTATCTATTATAACATTCCATTCCATCCACTGCATGTTCTACTTTAAACTTCTCTGGGTTGACATTTTTGGGATCTTTGGGACACTTTTTCACAGTACTGGCCTAAAATAAAAATGTTATGTTATATAATTATGATCTATAGACATAGGTATAGTGTGTTGTGTACTTATGCCATGTATCAACTAAAAAAATCAAAGGTAACACTAAATATGAATAACTATAACCTGCTTGAGTTTGTGTTTAAATTGTTATTGCGTTGGGTAATAAAGGGAATAAGACTAAAGCCAGTAGATAGGTAGGTAGGTACTGTAGATTTTTTGTTAGATTTTCAACCTTTATAGTTTTAGTAAATGCATAATTAATTATTTGTTCATTATTGTCTAATTAAGTAATGTTAAATTTAAATGAAAAATAATATTCTGACTTCTTTATAATGTCATAATGTTTTTTAAATTTTATTTATGCCCTTAAAATTTACAGTTAATTAACAAAGACGATAACTTAGGATGTGGCAACAATCGTATTTTTTTAACACTGGAAAAAACCTTAAATAACACCGATTACTATAGTATGTATACAACAACATTATTAAACCAATGGACAATGACAACAAATATTCTAATAAGTAATAATAATAATATAATTTAAAAAATCAAATGAAGTTCCACCAGGTTGACTGATTAAAAGTCCTAATTTTAACATATACATTTATCATAGGTATTCCTTTTTATTCCAGCAAAAACCAAAATCAATCTATTTATAGCCTTGTATACCATTAACTTCTGTTGTTGTAATGATGTAAAATAAATTATAAGTATCAAATAAATGATTATTCACTTCTACCTTTGGTGGTGATTTTATGAAATTTGGTTGATCTTGTAAAGTAATAGCTTTTGAAACAGACTGTAATTCCCATTGATTTATTAATTTATGCATCCCTAATGAAGCAAAATGTGACCATGGGAAGTCGTCATGAAGGAAGTCTTTAGGTTTTGGTACTGTACCCTTTTCTTTATTTTTCATATCTTGTTCCATGGGTGATTCTTTTTTTTTTTCTAATTAAATATAATATGACAGCAAGTATATTTAATATTTATTTATATATATGTTATGTGTAGGTATATACTTCACAGCCACATTAAAAGTTAACTAGTTCAATATTTTTAACTTACCAAATGGCTCGCTTATTTTTTTTGCCAACATAGTGCGCAAACATTTTTCACACGCCATCTGTTTTGCTTGAGCCTTGGAAGTATGATTTGCAGTAAATATCTGACCACCAATCTACAATTTTTTTAATTTTACATTATTAACTATTTTATTATTACTAGCTGTCCCGCCCGGCATTGCCCGACCCTAAAATTTGTTTTTTTATAAATATATTTGTAAAAAAATGTATATGCCACTTTTTTAGTAATAATTCTTTGTGACCATTATTACAAATAATATTTTTTTGAGAGCTGGAAAATATTCACGTGTACGACGTACGACTGCTACGAGCTACCCTTAAGCTGCCTACACGGGGGTTGGGGGGGGATAAGTTATAAACACCACTTAAGTCTCAAGAAATATATTGGTATAACATTTATTCAAAACGGTCCAGTAGTTTTTGAGTCTATTGATTTTGGATAAAACAACATCCATTTTTAGCTGTATGCCGCCTGTATAACCAGACCATATAGGAGTATCTTAATTTAAGTGTACCTTAGTTTTGGTAAATCGGCGACAGGTCTATTTTAGACCTCTGAACTAAGTCTACTGTGAAGGATTGGATAAAGTAGACCTACCTAGCACACAACATTCATCGATCATGCGGTTTAAACTTTCCTGATACATTTAAGAATAATTTGAAATTTTCACAAAATCAGTCAAGTAAGTAGTTTTTGATTATGTATACATTACAAACATACATTCAAGTCTCATTTTATTTGCTTTGAAATATAGTTTTTTCATTCAAATCCATAAACGCGACGATTTGATGCATGCATTTTACCTCATTTGCTCGAATAACCAAAGACGGTAAAGTAATATATTAAATGGCCATTTAAATACGAAGGAATAATAAATACTTTAATTGGTAATTTCTACTATTACGATTATAATCAGTTCCATAAAATGTAAGCACCTAAGGGCTAAGGGCCGTATTTAGGGGGTTGCAGTAGGAACATTTTCACCGGGCGGCCAAATATTGATCTATTTAGAGAGGTAGCCGGACACCGCTGTAACCCGGTGTAGTATCGTATAAATAAATATATTTTATTTTTTGGAAAAAATTTGTACACACTTATGAACTTAGCAGTGCACCGATAATGTATAAGTAGCATAGAATATAATTAATATTATTTTAACATAACCACGGTTGTTAATAGACAACCACGACTTAACCATAAAGAATTATAACTAAAAATGTGTTAAGAAAAATAAAAAACTGGATCTATTTTTTTTTGGAGGGGGGGGGGGTAAATTATGGTTGACACAGGGCGCAAAAATTGTAAATACGGCCCTGCACCTAACCATTTATAAGCCAAACATTTTTTTCGATTTATTCCAAGTCCTCTTGTGACTTTTGGAAATTTGTTTCTTAGTGCGCGGTGTTACGAAGGTAGTCACCATGAAAATTTCACGTTCAGAAACCATATATTTTAGGGGGCTACGTTGATCAATAACTCAAAAAAGCACTTTCAGTTTTTCCCGAATTTTCCAATAGCATTCAATTTTAATTTATATAGATTACATAAGAAATAAAATCATGAAGTTCTATAATTCAATTATATAACCCAACATTTGTCTTACCTCAATCGTAGCAATAAAGGTTAAACCAATGCCACTCAATTTGCGTTCTTGCACTCTTATAGGAACACGTTCAAACAATTCGTTAAACACCATTAATGAACTTTTGGGAGTTACTAAATGACGCATTAGTGCGTTCAGGCATTTTTTCTGTACTTTCTTCTTAGTTTTATTTTTCATTTCTAAAATTATGCTACAAATTAGTTCAGAAATGTTCAGGTGATCAATTAAAAAGAAACAAGAATAATTGACAACGTCATACTACCGTGGTTTTATAGGCTATTTAACTATTGTGACCATAGAGTAGATCATATAGAAAAGACGTATAGGAGGAACTACGTTTATGCTTTAGTACATCGTCCATCGATGACTGTTGAAGCCGCCTCCGTTTTAAAGTCTCCAAGATGTTTTAATATGCAAAAACAAATAATAATACATAATAACATAGACCTTATAGTATAGCATAATAATTAATCTCTGATCCCTTTTAGTCGTGATGTATAATCCAAATGGTTATTCTTAGAGAGCCTTAATAATTAATAATAATTATTATTAAGGCTCTCTAGTTATTCTCAGACGACGGCCTCATCATTAATTTCGTCTGTACGATGGGACGGTGTATGGTAATAAAATTATACAAATTGCTTTTGAATTACAATAAAATACGAAAATTGATTTTGTCAAATCCGTTTTTCACAAATTTGAATTTTATTTTTTTCCAGCAATCTACAAAAATACTCTGATTTTTTAACATTTGACCCCCTCCCCTCCTTTAAAATAAAATTTACATCTACTTTAAAATTTATACTGCTCAAAAGGCAATAGTAGATAGACGCACAAAAAATAAACAATAAATTTAATAAAGTTCTAAAAACATGACATTTACACAACACACTCAATTTCTTAGAATAATTATTATTATATAGCTACTATATAATTTAAACTTACAAGAAATATAAAAACTACTCCTCGGTGATTTTATTTTGGACAATTAGTTGGGGTTGCAACATATTATTTAAGTAAATACATTTGTGGGTTCTGAGTAAACATAAATCAGTTGTATGGAATTAAGCATTTATTTGTTTAAAATAAAATTTTTATTACGATACAATATTTTTTTGTCTATGATTTTTGACACATTGCACACTGCAAAATTTATAATCCATGTACTCAAAAGGATACTTTTCTTCTATATTTTTGCCACAATAGAAGCATCGCAATAATTTAAATGTCCCTTGAACTGCCATAAATCGTTTTTCTGCTGCTATCGCACACTAAAATAAAAACAAACTATACAGTACATTTTATTCTCATACATTTTTTTAAGATGAGACATTACTTTTTCTCTGTCAGATAATTGAAGAAACTTCTGCTTTTGAATTTCTTCTTCTTTTTTTAATTCTTCAACCACCTTTCTTTCTTTGGCTCTTTTTTGTTTAGCTTTTTTTCTTTCTTTCAATTCTTCTTGTAACTCTTCTGTTAATGGTCCTGGTAACCTTGACTGCAAAAGACATACTCAAATACTTTATTCAATTACGATGTAAATGTTAAAAATATAAATAATTTACTTTATCATAATCATATTTATCAGGGAAAATAGCCATAAATTTCCTAAACACTTTTCTAGTTGATTTATCTGGTGCTAATTCATATGGTGTCTTGGCGTCTTTATTTTTATGAATTGGATTCGATCCATGTTGTAAAAGTAAGCTATAAAATAAGATAATGTAGTTAATTTTTTTTTTTTTTTTTGGATTAAGGCTTCAACTACTAAGTTCATTAGCCTGGTACTGAGTGGGGGAATCATTGATTGGAACACGTTTGTATGTGTGGCAAGGATGTGTTACGAAAGAACCGGGTGGTCACACATCCAAGTGCTAGCATTGACGGCCAGTACATATGCTCAGAGTGTTGACACATATTGAGCGTACGACTGTGCCTCACTAAGCAACTAATATTCATTGAACTATTTAACTAAATAATAATATTGAAAAATAATTAATAATAATAAATAATTTCTTACTAAATATGATCATGCAGACAGTTAGCAGAGGCTAAATGAAGTAAAGTGTTATTTGATTCATCAACAGTTTCATTTAAACTTTTTTCTAAATTTTCTTTAGTCATAAAATCATGAGTATCTTCCAATAAAAGGTATTTGCTTAAAGCTTCAGAATTTTTTTCTTCAATTGTTTGCAATAAACGTTTTTTTACTTCTTCAACTTCAGCACATTTTACAATAATTGTGTCCTTGGGTTTCTTCTTTCTCTTCTTGCGTTTCTTATTTTTCAAACCATTTGTAACTACACTGTTATTGTTCTCACATAATATTTTACTTTGAGGAGGTTCTGCAGTTTCATTTTCTTCATCATTTTCACTGGAATCTAAAATGCCAGGGTAAAAAATACTTTTTTTTTAAATTTAAGCAAAATATGTATTTTAATGTATATAATATTATGGTTTTTTTTATACATATGATGCAATTATAAGCCCAGAATGGATTAAACACATAACGGTTTAAATTTATATTATTTTTACTTAAATTATAAATAAGCTAGAATGAATTACATAATTGGGAAACATAGTTTGAGTCTTATAGTTACATTGCTATCTATATGGATTAAAGTTAAACTTGAAAAAAAAATTTGACTTTTCATAGTGTGTTTGAACATAAGTATTATGTAATACAGTTTTATTTTATTCCATATAAATAAAAAAATATACATATATTACCTGACGATGAAGATGGTACATTATTTTCTGAAACTTTTTCATTTGAATTTTGAATGTCTTTAATAGGTTTCTCCGCGATTTTTTTTGTTCTGGATTCGGTATTTTTTCTTTTCTTAAATAACTTTAATACATAATTTTTAATAGAATTATTAATAATTTCTTGTGAATCTGCAAGAAAGTAGAAACCATTCAGAATTATTACTTCATAACTATTAGCTCATAATTCTTTCTCGAGGGTTACCATATACTAAAACAGTTGATAGTTGGTTATAAACTTTTTGTACTTCTGCAAAAGTAGCCTTTTTGGTTCCAAATGGTATTTGACATAGTCTACTGTCATTTTTATCAATTAATGGGTTTGAACCGCCAAATAGAATATTTCGATTATTTGGACCAATTGCCCGATAAAATATAAGGTCACATAATTTTATATGATGCAGCCATGATGATAATATTTCTTGAATATGCTGAATACAAAATTATTAGACAATAATAGGTATGTATTATCTATAAGTAATTAAGTTTTAAATACTGTACTTTTAATTGGGATGCTTCATTATATCTACGTAAACTTGCACCAGCACTTTTACATCCACCTTTTGATCGATCTTGTGTACTTTGAGAACCACCTTGTTTCGCTCTTACAGTATATGAATGAAAAGTTTTATGAGCAATTGCTTCTCCACCTAAAATATATGACAACAATAAATTATTCACAATGTGTAAAGCTAAGGATATTCTGGTATACCTTTAAATATAGCTGCTGAAAAACGACCACCGCCTAACATAACAATAAACCACATAGGTTTAGAACTGATGGACTTCAATGAATTAACCACTACTTCTTCGTTTGGAATATCCTATAAGACAGAAACCAAAAATATATTATTTTAAATTTTGTTTTATGTTAATAATTAATTATTACTTTTTTATTAGTCAATAAACATCTGTAAATAGAAAAAGCATTGCCAGAATTATTCTCAAAAAATAATTTTGAATCAATCGAAAAATGTGAATTGTAAGCATTGATCTCATCATCACTTTCACAACTGGATGAGCTGTCATTAGCTTTATCTAAATTAATATAAACATACAATATAAGTACTTGAAATTATAATATAGTATTGTTAGTTTTATACCCAGCGGCAATGATTTGAATTTGAATACATGACAATAAAAAAGTAAGATGAATACCTATCATAGGTAGATTATATTCTTATTAGAAATAAAATCGATAATTATTAATGCATACTTTCTAGAGCAAGAAACTTTGGCTCGTCGATTGTTTGTCTGTTACGTATTTTTTGCTTTAAATTGTACCGATGCCAGTCTGACTTATAGTGTGCTCTGTGTTCTTCAGACAGTTCAAACGCTATTTGACACGTAGTACAGTGCAAGCCCAACAAATAGTTTTTATCAATTTCCAAATCTAAAATTCAAGTTTTCCAAAAAATCAATAGTTGAACCCAATATAAGTATAAAGATGAGTACTAAAGAGGTTTAAAACTTTACTTTTTAACTCGGCCGCCGCCGTGTCTTCTTTTCTGGACAATCCCAAACTAATTAGTTTCACTCCGTCCAAGAGCAATTGGTAGTCGGGACGGCCGATCAAGACCGTTTTACTAGCGGAGGGCAAAATCGTCGACATTGTGAATACTCGTCGAGTCTCAACAAAATAGTGACCACTTACAATAATACCTACCAACTTTTATAAGTACAACGACGACCTTAAATTGGCCGTCACCCGCAATTCACGAACGAGACCCATGCTCGAACTTGCTGATAACAACAACCGAACACTGATAAGTATGTGAACTCTGATCTGTGAAGCCAACGGCCTTGAAAATCCCGCGCATTCTAATATCGTGGAAAAGAGAGAACAATTTTATTTTTAGGGACAGGGACAGTTGTAATATTGCTCTGTGGTTGTAGGTAGCTGATGTGTTGGTCTACCTTATTGGATGGTAGTTTGGTATTCGTAGCGGGTAAAATCAAAGAATAGATCATAGGGTATACTCTTTTTTTGTCTTTCAAAATGCTTTCAAAAATTGCTAGAATTTCAATTTTTACCTCTCAAAAGTACCTACCATCTATCAAAAAAGATGCTGACATAGTGACATAATTATATTAATATGTCGAGAATCGGAGCATTTTTAGACAGACAGAAAAAAAACACTCATCATTATAAAATCAATATACATTCGTTCGCTCCACTCAGAATCTAAAATCAACTATAGAATTACCTAAGTTAATGAAAAAAAAATGATGAGATGAAATCGGGCGCCTGCGTATAACATTGTATATAATTATTAATATGATAGGTATACTTTGCGAAAAACTTTGACAAATTTTGAGGAAAATTTAACATTTTAGATTATTTCAGTTTTTTTTTCTATAAATGTCGACAAAAAATCTTATGCAAGGTCAAAATTCTCGAAAATGTAATGCAAAAAGGTTCTTCATATATTGTTCATATAATAATTAATAAAATACATCAAACATACATATAGACATATAGTCCACGGTTAAAGATAGTATATACTATCTTTAATCGTGATATAGTCACACATTTTTTTATAAGTAATTAAAGTAAGAATTTTGACAAATGTTGTAAAAATCAAGATAACTTGTACATTGTTATGTAGATTTATCAAATCTTGAAAATTGAAATAGAAATAATATATATTTAAATTAAAATATAAGGTGCCATATACCCTCTCCTATTCCGTTCAATCTATACTTGACAAACCAACCCACGTCTGTTGAGCGGATTTCGTGGATGACAAAATAATTTATTCCTCATATTTAAATCCAATAACTACCTGTTATAACCTACAAAATCATTTTGATCACAAGTGGTCCTGGTACACGAAATGGAAAATAAAAGTGAACCACTAGAAACCATCTGCACGTTTGACCATTACCCCAAAACCAGGAATAAAAAGAAAAAACCACCTACCTATCACCTTATAGGAAACCATAACATCCCAAAATCTATTAGCTCTCGCTACTTAGCGCTACTATGAGACTTAATACTAGACTAGTGTCTAAACTATAGGCAGACCACATAAAAAGAAAACCTATTCTTAAACATTCGACGAAAATCTCTCTCCTACTCGGTAAACATTCCAAACTCAACATAAAAACTAAGCTATTCCTATGTAAAACTACTTGATGCTTATCTGGACATACAGAATCCAACTAAATGGGGGCAACCAAAAAATCAAATATACATAAAATTCAAACCATTAAATCCGTAATTCTCTCCGCATAATTACAAATGCCCAATTCTGTATATCAAATATACTGGCTTAAAAATTAATAATGTAGACGAAACTGCAAAAATGCTATTCAAACGCTTCCTGCGTCTAATCAACCGCCCAAATCCCCTAATATCGGTACCAAAGTCTGACACCATTCGACCATTCCAACAATCCTCCCACAATCTAAAGAGAAGATGGTACCGTGATCTAATCCACAATTCAAAATCCATTAAAAATTAAACAAATTCGAAAAAATAACAAATTTTGCCTTTTGTGAGCTGAATCCGTCGTACCGGTACAGCCGACCATTTCGTCGGAACGTAGTTCCAAAGATTTTTATGAATATACAATCAATTAAAGAATTTAAAAATTGAATGCTCGAAGTGGTCGAGTTGAAGAAATGAACTATTTAAAAATTTAAAGCATCAGTCATGAATAAGTGGATATGAAGACTAGGGACATAGGGTATCAAATCACTCATATGGAGCACACAAGTATGTACTAACTAAAAAAAATTAGAGTACATCGTTATGACTTATGGATAAGAAAAATGACGTGTGTGAGGTTAGCCCCCCAACCCCCACTTCATCGCAAAACTACCAAATTAATTGTATAACTTAATTTTTTTAATTTGTAACTATTTGTAACCAAGTTTTGAGAATTTGTTACTTCATCGTTCACAAGTTATAACTGGCTTCTCAATGAGGGGCCAACTACACGCGAACCCCCCCCCCCCACATCAACTAAATAGATGGAAAATAATTTATCATTTTCCTTTTTATTTGTAACGGTTTATAATAGACTTTTTTAAATTTGTTACCTCACTGTTCCAGGGTTATATCCATCTTCAAATGGTGGGGGGGGGGGCAAGCCCAATATTTGTAAGCAAATCCTTCCCCCCATATTTAATTCCTGTTAACTACCCAATTTGGTTGGAGAAAAATCGATCTAGCCAAAGTCCATATATAGTCACCTTAATGAAAATCCATTGCCCCATTGGTTTAAATGCAATTCCAAATTTGGAATATAGTTTGGAACCGCACGATGAGCATTAGAGCAAACAAATATTGGAAGTATTGGCTAGTGACACAAATATATTTTGGAACAACAATATATATAATAATATCGGTTGCCGGGACAAATATTTATTGGAATAAATAAGTGTCCGAACAATAAATTATGGAACAATAATGTACATTTTGGATATTAATCATAGACTTATAGGTATTAACATGATATTATTATTATTTATTATTATTATCAATTCAGTTCGAACAAATTGACTTTAGGACATCTTTCTTTGTGGAACAAAAGGTAGTGATCCAATTTTTCATCTTTCCGTAATCTCATGGCCTATAATAATTATATTATGTTATTTGCCATGTTATTGTTTAATCTCTTCACGGTGATACTGGCATGCATCCTGTTATCCAACCGCAGGTTTAAGTACTTACTGCCAAGTCTAACGTTTACTAACGATTTACGTTATTTATTATTTAGTATTTCGTTTTCATTATTATTCATTATTCGCTGGGTGCCTGGAAATCGGTTATTTTCTGTCTATTTTACTATTAGACCATAGGTACGATAACATTTCAACAAAAAAGTATGGCATTATCAATCAGTAGAAAAGAAGTTGAGGACATCAAGCCGTATTTGGAGAAGACCGTCTCCAAATTTCTTGGATTCAGAGAACCGTCTCTGGTGACCACGTTAATGCACTGCTTATCGTCTGGTTACGATAAGTACAAGACTGCAGGTAAATACTTCAACCATAAATCAAATGTACACTAGTCACTAACTACTAACTAATTAATTGCTAATTTATTACTCCATTCTTAAAAACAAAAACCTAATTTTGCCTTTCATTCTACTAGACAAACTTCGGTCTTCACTGTTGGATCCTGGCAAAGCATTGTCCTTAACTGATAAGGCGTTTGACTTGGCTAAAGGAATGACTATGAAGGTCAATAATGTGCCTGTTACTACAAAGCGTACTATTAAAACTGAGTATGACGAAAATAATATTAAACGTAAAAAAGAAGATGATACAACTGTGGTCAAAGAAGAGGCACTTTCCATGGGACAGGTATCTACCTATTTTTTTTATTCAAATTGTGTTTAGTCTTTCAATATTTTTGTTTTTAATAGATTAAAGACATGATGTTAAATGCTCAAAAAATGATTGAAGAACGGAAAAAAGCACTGTCCATACCATCATCTGGTGTTCAAAAAAATACTAATGGCAAAGATAAAAAACCACAAATAACAACTGATTTTGAGAAACAAGCAAAAATTGCTCAATTACAGGTTTGTTTACAAATATGTGTAGATTATTATATTGTTTATAAATTGTATTACTTACTAATGTTACATTTTTGAAATATTAAGGCTCAAATACAAAAGAAGTTAGCTACCGGTATTATAAAGACAGTTCCAAGTGTTCCCAAAACTATGAGTAGTTCATCTGCTGAAAAACCAACTCCTCTGATTCTTGATAGTGAGGGGCGTACAATTGATATTACTGGTAAAGAAGTTCAATTAACACAAGTTATACCCACATTAAAAGCTAATATCAGAGCGAAAAAGCGAGAAGAATTTAAACAAACATTCAGTGAAAAATCTAATGAAGATTCCTCAGAGTTAAAGTTTTTTGATCCCCGATTGACATTAAAAACTAATATCCGTACAAAACGATCCTTAAAATTTCATGAACCAGGAAAATTTCAACAAATTGCTGATCGTCTACGAATGAAGGTATTTTGAAATATTCATCATATCAATTAGTTATGTTTTATATTTTTACCTAATTCTAATATGTATTTTAAAAAAATGTTGTAATGTAGGCCCAGTTAGAAAAATTGCAAAATGAAATTTCACAAATTGCTCGTAAAACTGGTATTTCATCTGTAACTAAAATGGCATTGTTAGTGCCCAAAGAAGAACAATTAACTGAACATTGTCCTGATTTTGAATGGTGGGATAGTGTTATTTTAGACGGAGCATCGTAAGTTTGTAATAGTAAATATAATGTTACTTAACTATTTAACTATACATGAATATTTCAAATTATAGTTACTTAAATGAAGCCGGTGAAGTTCAATTTAAAAGAAGTAGTATATCACACTTAGTGGAACATCCATTGCAAATGAGACCACCAAGTAAGACTATAAAATAAAAATATATCGTTAAGATTTAAATTTTAGTTTAAGACTTATTCAATTTAATATTTATAAATAGAATTCAGATTTGAAGGCATTTGCCTTTTTGTTTTGGATGAATATAAAAAAGATTATTCTTGTATAAAAATTAATTTAATTTAATTTTCATGCAAATGAGTTTAAGATTATTTAACCTTTTTTTTGTCAGTCAGTGAATTTTTTGCTTTCCCTCTTTACCCCTTTTTTTTATATTTTGTGTTAATTTATTAATTGATCATAATAATTATTTTATTTTACTTACCGTACGTCATATAAATAAAAGCTTCCAAGGACAATGTGTTGTCAATGTTATTTCGAAAAATACTTGTAATGATTAGAGAGAACTTCACACGTGTATGTCATTTTCTATGTTTAAAAATATTTTAAGTTCAAACTGCCAATGTTATACTTTCTTGATATATATAAAATGCTTTTTTATTATTTATGAATATGCGTCTTCAAATCTTAATCTAATTTATAAAATTTAGAATTTAGAATTATCTTTATTATAATTTAAAAATGTAAATAAACAGCTGAAGTACTGCTCTTACTGCAAATACAATAACTAATACAAGATTAAAATTTTTTACATTTTTGATGTATTTTTACTTAAGTCACTGCAATTGCAACATTGTTCAATAAATTAATAAACAATATATCATTTTCAGCTGATCCATTGAAACCAGTTTTTATGCCTGTGTTCTTAACAAAAAAAGAAAGAAAGAAACTACGGCGTCAAAACCGTCGTGAAACATGGAAAGAAGAACAAGAAAAAATTAGACTGGGTTTAGAACCTCCAGCTGAACCTAAGGTATTTAAATTATAAACTATATAGCATATTCGCATTATCATTATTCCTTTAATATGTTTAATTTATTTTATAATATTTTAATTATTAGCTTCGTATTTCAAACTTGATGAGAGTATTGGGTACAGAAGCAGTTCAAGATCCAACTAAAATGGAATCTCATGTAAGGGCACAAATGGCAAAACGTCAAAAAGCTCACGAAGAGGCTAATGCATCACGTCGGTTAAATCCAGAACAAAGACGTGATAAAAAAATGAGAAAGTTGCAGGAAGATACTACATTAGGTGTTAACATTGCTATATATAGGTAAAATTGATATTAGTATTAAACTTAATGAAATAATAGTGAGCAAATTAAAATATGTATGTATGTATTTTAGAATAAAAGACTTAGGTAATCCATCGAAGAAATATAAAATAGAAACCAATAGCAAACAACTATTTATGACTGGTTGTGTGATTTTGTGCAAGGACTGTAATGTTGTTATTGTGGAAGGTGGACCAAAACAACAAAAAAAGTATAAAAGGTAACTAAATCATATTTGTTTAACTGTTGAATTATAAAAATGGTAAATTATTAAACAAATTATCACACAATATTTATGTATTATATTTTTATATGTTTAGATTGATGTTACATAGAATGAAGTGGGAGGATGATGTTATAAAAACTAAAGATGAATCAGAACCAAAATCAAACAATAAATGTTCATTAGTATGGGAGGTAATAAAAAAATAATAATTACAACTATTATTAAGTTACCACAAATATTGCGGGACAGATATATTTATTTATACATTTCTTTGTTCATGGATTTTAGTTATTATGTAATCACTTTTAGTTTATATTAATTAATTTATATTTGATTATTTTTATAGTTGTAAATACCCAATTTTATTGAACAATTATTAAGCTTAAAAAAATTAAATGTTAATTATTTTTTCATCTAAATATTTTATTATGTTAGACAATATTATGAACATTTTTTTAATTTTATTTTATTAAGCAAGTCTATGTTCTATGCTGAAAGTAAATCAATAGTTGTCTTATTGATGAAAACATATTCATTTATTCACAATTTGTATTGCAATTGAAGTGTATTCATACTTTCAAATATTGTATTATATAATCTCTAATTAATTTTGTATTTTGTGATTTAATTTCAGGGTATGTCAAAGCAACGTAATTTTGGAGAAATAAAGTTTAAAGTATGTGCTTCTGAAAAATTGGCTCGTGAACAATTGAAAAAACATGGAGTGGAACATTATTGGGATCTAGCATATAGTGATTTGATCATGGATTAAAATTAATGTAAGGAAAAATGCATTCAACAATTTGTGAGTTTTTATCACTCAGCTAAAATATGTATTTATCTTATTTATAAAAAAAAGATGTATTTGTAATTCAACAATGTTTTTTTAATTTATATGATAATATATTTTATAATATTTAGTTATCATTCATTAATTTATCCAGCGCATTATATTTCTTTTGTCTTTCATATTGTATTTCCCTTAGGTGTGATGTGTATTTCAATTCATTCATTGCAATATACTTGCACATCGTTTTTGCATTTGCTTTTAATTTGTATGATGTTGTTCTAGCATAACCTTTATTTGCCACCGATTGCACACACATTTCTAATATTTCTTGATTTATGGCCATCAAGCTTTTAATTCCTTTTTTTAGCTTTTCTATTCCATATTTGTTTATCATTTCTTTAAATTTTTGTACAAATCGTGTGTATAACATATTATCTGCCATGTTGACTTGTATTAATCGATTAACATCATCATTTGATAATATTTGTTTATATGTATTATTTCTGGTATTAAGTGGTAAGTAAGCCATTTGCTCTAATGGCCATTGCATGAAATGCGCAAACAAAACAAGAGATGCATCTAAATATTCAAATATCATAACAAAGTCAAAATCTCTTTCAATCATATTTATGTGTTTATTTATCATTTCAATGTTTTCAAAATCATTTGTATCCATTCCCAAATCCCAATTCATTTGATTTATTCCTAATTTGTTACTGTAACGTTTTATTTGGTTTGTAGATGATTTGTTCGAAAGCCTATTGGTGATAAACTCAGTTAGATTGCATTTATATTTTTTATCAAAATGGTAAAACGAGTATATTGACTGAAACAATGCCGTAGGTTCCCGAAGAATAGTGACATAAATTGTACCATATCTCATCACAGATTTTATTTCTTGGGAATATCTGGTGTGATGAACAAACATGTCAAACTTGCCATCCACGGTGGAATAATTATTACTTATCATACTTGTGTTAAAATGTTTAGGATTTCCTATGTAATTATTCATATTTGGTAACAAAAAATCAAGGTTTTCCATATGACCAAATCGCATCAGTATATTTTGAACAGTAGAGCTAGCACATTTATGTGTTTTCATAAAAAATATACGTTTGTTCTCTGTTACCATTGCAGGTTGTGTTGACTGCGATTCAATGATTGTCCTGAAAAAACTTGTAACAGTTTTTAAATAATATTTTTATTTGCATATTCTAGAAAAATATTTAATAACATATTATTATTGTCCAATTTATTGTATATTTTTGCTAGTAACTGTTTTTTAGAAAATGGTTAAACTATGATAGTATTATATTATTACATTAGTCATTAATATATTATACTAAGAAAAGCATGAATATGTTGGTAGGTAGATAATTGTTTAGGTAATAGGTAACTTAAAATGTTTGTGTCTTAAAAAATATCTCACTTATATCGACAATATTGACATAGAATTAACTATTGTAAATATTTTAAGAACTGAATGTTATCTACCAATGACCCATCTTATATATTTTATTCAAAAAGATTGGATATTTACTCATTGCAAGATAGGTACACTTCAAAAAAACGTATGTCCAACTTGTTGATCACCATGGACATTCATGGTAGGTTGGGTACCAATTGGTATTTAGTACCTATACAAATCATTGAAATCAATTACGATAGGTAGTATTAGTATACCTAGTATATTGTCACATAGGAGTTTTTGCAGTTTAAGAGTTTTTTTTTTCGAGGGAATTTAAGTTCAATTTTAATAAAATTGTATTTGTCTTATACAATTTTGAATTAGTGACTTGGGTATATCTTAAGTCTCAAGAGGTAAGAAGAAATGTAGTACCTATATATTATGTTTATTTAAGACTTGTTGAACGGTCACATTTTTTCCTCGAAATTGATAAATAACACTATATTTATATAATTATAAACTAAATTAATATAAATATTATATTTGTATTATGTCTATGATGATTATGGTGTGTTATAGTTTGTACGTATTATGTATGATGTTTAATATGTTTATAATTAACACTCCTCCTCCCCCTTCATGAAAATCTTAGCAACAGCCAACAACACTGACACTAAGTTAGGTACTAAATGTTGTAATATTTTAAGTTAAAAATTTGATGAAATCGAATCTTTAAGCGAAGAATAACGACGTTATTTTTTTTGTTGTAATTCAAAAACATTAATCGTGGTGACTTGAAACTTTTACGTATATTTTACATTTATTACCTACATTTTACTACCTATATGCAACGAGGACATTTTAAAATTAATTTTCAGCTATATCATCAATTTATACATACCTATATGAACCTATTCAAAATGCCCTACTGTTATAAGGCGGATTTAATTCAAAACACAATAACAATAATATAGTATAATGAAAAAGTACAGTACTATAATAGTTAAATATTAATTATTTAATGCAATAAAGGATACAATATTTTTGGCAAAAAATAAATCAACCTATCGGCTATCGTAATATACTAATAGTTAAATAAGTTACCGTAATAGGTAGCAATGTAAAGTTTCATATCGTATGCTGACTTATATAACATTTAAATATACACTATATACACGCATGTTTTAATATGTAGTTCTAACTAGTAACTATTAAGAAAAATTGAATTAGCATTTACAAATTGCAATGAAAAATTAGTAAATGTGCACCGGAGTGAATCACTTTGCGGGGCTCCAGCCCACAGCATCTAAGACTAAAAGATATCATGTCGCCTATGTCGGGGGAAGTTTCTGAAATACCTGTCACCATATAATAATTTATATTTAAATGTTTGTTTTTTATAACTGCATTTTATGGAAATAACTCAAATAATTTTGAGGTATAACCTCGTTCCTTCCACTCCATATTATCCTAAAATTTAAATTTAAACCGCAAAACGCTAATATAACTCATAAATTACTATATAGTCTACGTCTAGTCCACTATCTTAAGTAGGTACATTGTACAATGTATTTCTTATTTTCTATTACTCTATAACTGAGTCACAATGTATGAAAAATATTAGTCGATATTTGACGATATTTAAACCGATCTAGCTTGATTTTTCGATGAGTTTCCATTTTCTCTCTCCGATTTCCCCGGCACCGCCCTTTCTTTTAGATTCCATTTTAAATAACTAATAAGTAAACAAGTAAATATTACAAAATTAACACGCAGCAGTAAAATAAAAAACAAGTAAAAGTAATTTACTTATATGAATTAAAACGTTACATTGAACGTACGAAACTATACCTATACTTATCATCCTATTAATCCATCAATAGTATTATATTTTTTTTTGTGTACAATATATCAGGTAATATTAAGTAAATACTCGATGGCTAGATGTGGAAATAGTAATCGATTGGTAAAATAAAAGTCAGATTCAGTTACAATTAATAGGTTTAATTATTTAGATGATTTAAATATAATAAAAAACAAGAAAAAAATGACTTAAAAAAATTCGATTTAATGCTAGTGCATATTACAAAGTTTAATAAAATGCCCAGATTTATTAAAAGCCAATTTAAATGAATATAAAATAAAATTTAGATAGTTAGGTATATTTGTTGTATTTTGTGTTTCATTTTATAATTGTATAGCATTGGACAATCGAGAGCTATATTATTTAATATTTTGAAATAAAAGCGACAGTTATTGGCAAGTGCTGAAGTGTAAAACCTGAAGTATTAGCCCATAGGTCATAGAATCGAACATATTATGTAATAAAAATAGAAATATTAGTAACAAAAAAAAATACATTTAATTATAAAAATATGAAATTGTATCTGTTCTTATACAATTTTGAATTGGTGAATTTGGGTAGGTACCTATATCTTAAGAGGTAAGAATAGAAAGGTTGCAGATATTATTTTTATTTACTTGTTGAACGGTCACATTTTTTCTCAAAATTGATAAATAACGCTATATTTATACAATTATGAACTAAATTAATATAAATATTATGACATTTTTATTATGTCTATGATGATCATGGCGAGTTATGGTTTGTGCGTATTATGTATAATGTTTTATTTTTTATATGTTTATAATTAAATGGACAGTATGGCTACATCATAGTACCTTAACTTTAAAATATTCATTCAATCGTTGATTGCAATTTACTCTATAGATCTGCAGACTTAATTTAAATTAATATTTAATCAATGATAAGAATTAAATGAGGTTTTAATGTTTTGTTATATGGACTAATGGACAACAATATAATATGCTATCATGATTTAAATATGAAATTAAGTACTTATAGCTGATGTACGTACCTATGCTCAAATCCAGTTGGAATGAAATTAAAACTTATTAAAAATGTCATTAGCGTCAGTAAAATCACAATATAGGCAAAAGCATATTTTATTTTAATAAACCGCATTGTTTTTATTAAAAAAAAAAAAAAATACTATGTATAATTATTTATGTAGAAAATACTGAACGGTTGATAATTTATTATATAATATGATGGTTACAGTAGGTTACCACTAGCCTATTTCCATTATAACTGGTAACTGGTATACGTGTGGCGCAGGTTTATTTCTATATTATGTGAGCTAAACAATTTTTACTATAAGTGACCCAATTATATATAATATTAATACAAGATCCACCCAAATAATTGTTAGATACCTAGTCGGTTACCACCTACATACGTATCTTAATTTCGAGAGATAATTTTTTACACAGTCAGGTACACACTTCACGCAACACACTTACATTTCATGAGTGCTTTTGATTATGTGTATAATATAATATAATATTTATATTGTGCGTGTGTGACTTGTAGTTTGTAAATATATTCAAATTACAAGTCATTTGAGTACTCAAATACGTAGGTATTTGACTGCTTCAATACCAGGTCATAAATTATTATAACATTGTCTTTATCTTAAATCAACATTGTTTCTTGTGGGCATCATGTGTACCTACATAGGTATCGATATTCATAAACGTATAAATCAACTATAGATCATAATAATTAATAAGATACGTGTCCAATCATCAGTTTTCTTGCATTACGTACACATTGTTATTTGTTACACAAACTATTAACAAATATTGTTGTGTTTAAGTACGTACATATCGTACACCTACATCGAACTACCATTTGAGTCTACCAGTATTATGGTAAGAATATACACGGGTACCTACCAAATTCGAAAAATATGTTTTTTGTTTCTGACCGATTTTTTCGTGAGGTTTTCGTATTGTCATTATGGTTTGTTAACAATAACATATTTGATATTTATGATTCATAGATTTTCCCTCGGATTTTCTTCGTAGAAGAAAAATATCAATTTGCGTGCAATAGCTTATTCTGTCATTTCATATCTGCAAAGCTATAGTTCTAATTCAGTGCTTGAATTAAAGAAAGGACTCGGGACGACGGAATACCTCTTTTTTTTTCAAAACTATTTCAGCTTTCCGCACTTAACTTCTAAGGCAATACATTTTCATCATATTGATATTTGATTGTCAAACAAATATATAATTAATTTATGGTTGTGAATAGATACCCGGGTACCCTGCAGGTAGATAAAGATACACATAAATAAATAGGTTTATTAAAAATATATAAAATATAATATACTTTACAGTTTCCTTTATATATTAAAAATATTCTGTTGCCTACGGAATAATAAACATTACCAGGTATATATAGGTTGCCTATATTATAATTTATAACATTGACTCCCGAGTCACGGTACTCTCGACCGAAGGTACGCTAAAAGTTCATAAGTTCTATTAAAAAAAAAAAATTTAAATTGAACATTATATTTGACGGCGGAAAATGTGGATATCAATTATCTAATGCAGCTCACAAACATGACATTTTCGAGAAGCGAGTAAAATATTAAATGTATTTTTTTGTTAACATTTTCAACAAGAAAAAAAATTTAAGGGGTGCGTTACTTGGGAAAATGTGTATTAATTGTGTTTTTATCATTGTCAATTAAAAACTTTATTTCGTCATTCGTTGGAGCTGCGGGTTACTACTGACCTTTTCACCGTAAAATTATATCGAGACGACTCGATTAGCTTATAAGTTTTTTAAACATGTATTGATGTATAGCGCATTAGCGCGTATGATAATCACTGCCAGAGGTCTTTTAAAAAAATTGTTCCAAATGTATAGTATATACTCGCATTACTGAGACACAAAACGGTAAAGAGTCGCTATCCTATAATATATATACTCGCTTAGGACGCTTTCCCGAATAAGACACTGTTTTCCGTCGGTCCCTAGACGTTTCCTATACTAGTCAATGTAAAAACCACCAGTTAAGACGCTCGCTTTGTTTTTGCGTCGGATAAAACGCTCTTTTGTTCAGCAGATTACAATAAATTTTAGTAGGTTTTTTATACTAAAAATAGAAATTTTACTAGTTGACGTGTCCTTGTCGTTTTATTTTATCGCAATCGCCAATCATTACCTATTATAAATGTTGTACTGTCTTTTATCGTATTACGAGGTTTAGTAAGTGCAGTTCGTTCGCAAGTGTACAATCGTTATTTCGTTATGGCCAGTGAGTAGTGGTATAAAACGTAAAGCGCTATCGATTTCGGACAAACTCAACATTTTGAAAAAATACGACGAAGGATTGATCGAGGAAAAAAAAGGAAGATATTGTTTTAAATTAAACAAGGATATTGCTAATGAGCTGGGGATACCTCCTTCTGCATTAAGAAGTGTGTTGAAAAATAGACGCACGAAATAGAACAAAGCTGCTTGTTAGGTGGGAGCTAACCGTAACCAGTAACCAGTAGCACTCGGACTTTAGATGAAATAATCGCTGATACGAACTTAACGGAGAATGAGAAAGAATACGACGATCAAGAAGAAGATCCATTACGATACAGTATCTCCTCTTGCAATTACTGCTGGTTTGCGAACATCTATCAGAAATTCGAAAAGTATTATCCTCAGTAGAAAATTCCCAAGAAATGTTGGGTTGTCTTAACAACTGTATATATATATATATTTATGTATTATGTATTACCTATTAACTTATAATAACCAGCAGTAGGACCATAGCATGTAGGATTTAAAAAAATATTTACTGGTCGTCTTTTTTGAGATCAGTACAATTGTCTCTCTCAAAATGTAATTTAATATCTAATATCAATATTTGTATATAAACCGTTGAAAAAATAATGAGGTAAAAGATTGTTTCTACAAAACTTCAGAGGACCATAAAATATGTTTTATTCAGTAACTGGAAGATTAACTTACAGTATTTACATTATATTATATAGGTAGTATTATGAATGAAGGGTTTTATCCGTTCGAAATGAAAACGCCAGATCGGATATTCTGCAGATTACACGAAACCGTCGGTAAAGTTATGTTCAAAAAGAGAGGGGCACACCTAACAAATTAATTTTTTTACCGTCTAAAATAATTCATGAAAGTTTTCGTGACATCAAAATATGAGGGAAAAAAATTTGTTCTTTAATAATATAGGTATTCTTCAGTATTTTATTTATTATTTTCTTCCTTACACATGTAGTTGTTTAACGACCGTCCTTCCAGGTTTTTGAGTCGATGACCAAAAAGGTGGGACGTCACAACAGGCACTGTGCGTTGCTCTTCCTATGATAAATCAGCAAGACAATAACGAACATTCAAATTAATTTTTTACTGTTCTAGTACACGGAGATTTAGGAGCTGTAGATCATAAATATATTCGTATATACTTCTTTGTAAATATTGTCGCGTATTTCTTCTTTACTTCTCCAACTATCTTGTTTTGATTTCGGATCGAATGACTTATTCGAGTTAAAAAGCAATTCATACTGCAGTTTTTGCACGACTGGCTCCTTGTTACCAAAGTAACTTATTAGATCTCCTTCTGATATGTCCTAAATCACAGGCATAAATAGTCTATGAATATCAAGGGTATTTAAGCACCTAGAAAAATTTAATTAGACGGGCTTTTGAATACTATTATTATGATTATATAAATAATAATAATAATAATAATAATAAAAAAAACAATTGGTTCAAATATTTTGTATATTGATGCATCAAGCCATCAACATTTAAAAAAATTGTATAAATCGGCTTCAGACAATTATTTGACTAATAAAATATCATCATTAATATTCAATCATCAGGTAGGTACTTATAAATTAAAAATATAATTGTATATATAATATATATAGCTGATTGTGTTTTAAAAATCAAAGAGTTAATATGGAGATTCACTATAAGAAATATTGTAAGAATCTAAAAAATATAATGTATTAAAATTAAACCCTTAGCATGCAAGATGTATCTATGTATTTATACTGTTGTTACCAGAACAAAAATACTAGTTTCTTTATTTTTGAATTTCATTTTTTTTTTTGTGACAATTTAAAATTTATTAAAATCAATTTTAACTTTCCTTGTTATTAAGTTTTAATTTTTAATGGATTCGCTAGGTATAATTTTATTGACAATATTATTAACTTTACGACTCATTACATTTTTGTAACACCACCGCCATGTATGATTGTTTAAATAAATTTTAAAAAAGTTCTTTAAACTATCTGCGAGCCTAAGTGGGCCGTCTGAATAAGAGGTGTCTAGTTCTGCCTACGTCCAAACCCTCAAGTCGTCCAATATATATTTAAATATAAAATAATCGATTTGGACATGAGTTTAGGATACCTTTAATGGCACATTTGACTTTTCAAGTTTCATCCACATGGTCGTTAGTGCTCTTTCTACCTGTGTCGGTGTATGCCAATCGGCCATAGTGTTCACCTATATAGGTATATGAAGTATAAGATATAGCATAGTATTTAATATTTACCACAAGTCTTAAGAGTACCATTAGAATATTAGATATAAACTTGATATGCAGTGGTTACTGGTTACTATACCGTAACTGGTTATAGAAGGAGTATGTAGTAGGTAGGTATCGGTTTACTTGAATTAGGTACTGAATAGTTTATGTACAAAATGTTACATAAAATAACTTTATGTTGTATTTTGATCAATCTTTGCCATAGATACTATATCTTAAAAATATTTTAAAGTTTAATAGATCTCCATCATAAACATTATTGGTATGTATTATTTTCGACCATGTTAAATTTTAATTTTAAATTCTGATAAACAACAATATTACCACAGAATAACTATTATTTTATATCATCAATTACGATAGGTTATTATTTATTAACTTTTAACACGACTATCATACAAATACGATTAGAATTTGATTATTTACGGTTTGACCTTCAGACGATTTATTAAATTAACATTGACTAAATTATGATCACACGATTATAGGATATAATTTCAAGATATTTGTCTGCATTATATGCACCTATATAATTTTATGATAATAAATATCTAAATTACGAAGTTTCTAATTATTTATTTATTTATATTTAAATGTTATGAAAAAACAACTTTGGGTTAGGTTTATCATGATTAGAACTTCCAGAATTTATTTAATGTACATAGTACATGGCATAGGCTGTTACATTACAACTGTTAAAAATGTACCTGTTAAATTATAATATGCATATACTTATAGCCGTATGTATACAAGAACAGAGTAAGTATTTAAAAAAAAGTGTAATTTTAAATTTTTAGTAAATCTTTCAAACTGCTGCAACACCGCTACTCATGCATTTGTCGTCTCTGATGTGAGTTACACACGTGACACGTATGACGTGGCAAATCTTCGGCCACCAGTTTCAATAATAAGCTGTCAGCTTTGATATTAGAGTGGATTGACCTATTATCAATTTTTTTAGGTGAGAATATTATCCGTGCTTGAGAGTGAGCTTTTTTCTTTTTAATTTTCAAACGAGATATGAATATTCATTTAATGATAATCAAAATTGGTCTTGGTCTTGCGGTCTCGCAAGACTTGCTGTAAGACCAAGGCCAAGATAGTACTGGCATTAGCAAGATGAAGACCAAGATTAGGTTTCCAAGACCAAAACAAGACCAACACTGAAAGACTTGCAGTTTTTTTTTCCCCCGAACACATTAGTGTAGCTAAGATTTAATTAACTAATAATATTTATAACGAAAATAATAAGAAATGATTTTTATAGTTATTAAATTTGATCAGTATTCGAGGATATGTCGAATTATTGTAAAAAAGATTAGAAATAATTGAAATTATTTTTACAAAATAGTATAGCCGTTTCATACTAATATTTTATTTTCTTAAAATCGATAAGTATTAAATAAATGTCGAAAGTTTCCATCTTGCTAATAAGTATAAATAGCAAATAGCCAATAGGATAATTTATGTCTATAATACACCCCTATTTTGGATCAAATACTACTATTCGATTAAAGTTAAACATTTCTGGAAATTATTACGGACTACGATAGATATCATTTTAATGGTAAGCACATCTTTATTTTCGTCCGTAATTTTTGTAATATTGCTAATGATGAGCCTTGGGAACATTACAAAAATAAATAAATATTTAATTGGGAATTTATCGGAAATATTTTCACATATTTGCTATCCCTAAATTGAAATTTTTCGTTCTACGGGTCTACACTGTTGGGGAGGTTTATTGGATTAATGACTGATATGAAGAAACTAATATAACATTGAAAATGTATTTCTTATGTATCTTCAAAAAAACTAAGCTAAGTGTTTTACCAGATATATTTTCTTTAATACCTAGTAACTTTTGTGTAGAAGATATAGTAATAAACAAGATACAAACTATAAATTATAAAGACATAATTTTTCAATTTTCATTGAGGAAAGTAGATACCATCATAATACTAATCATAAAATAAGGATAGACGATAGTTATATTTTGATTGTGTTTGGATTGGCAATAATATAATTTTGACTTACCTACTGGAATTTCACAAATTTATAGTTAAGTTTCCATTATTTGGGAAATAAATATAAATTCTGGAAATATTTCCAAGGAATATTTCCTTGCTCTTAGGTTAAATATCGGGAAATTACTTATCACTAGGTATTGCCGTATTGGAAATTGAGTACCTAAACGTCTTAAGGGGATTCGATACCGTCATTTTCTGTTTTCGTCTAACACACGCGTGACATAGCAATTTAGACGTGTTTTTTGCCAAACATACTAATTGATCTAATGAAGCGATAATAAATCGGAAAACAGATTTGAATTTGTCATTAAGTCTTCTTAAAATCGATTTTCCCACATTTTTGATATTATTCTCCAAATTCCTAAAAATGTCATATTAAAAAAAAACATTTAAAAATTTTTGTATTTCAATGTTCGGAGAAGTTAAAATCAAAAAATCATAAATGTAGGAAAGTCGATTTCAAGTAGACTTTACCACAAATTCAAATCTGTTTTTAGAATTCTTATCGCTTCATTAGATCAATTGGTATATTTGGCAAAAAACACGTCTAAATTACTATGTCACGCGTGTGTTAGACAAAAACAGAAAATGACGGTATCGAATCCCCTTAAACTAAATTGTCTGCATGTCATCATTGTCGTAAACTTAAATAACTTTAACTTAAAACTTTTAGTATTAGTATGTATAGTCTATTGGTAATACATTGGTAATTCTATAGCCATAGAGCCCCATTCTTCTCAAACACCACTTTTAACGATTCCTAACCTCAAATCAGTCGCAACGCAAACAGAGCAATGTCGTTTTCGATTTGTACTTTTCGTATAAAATTTTCACAGGAAGTATTGACTGTCCTGAGTTTCTAAGTCGTTTCTCCTGCCACGCCCCAATTAGGAAATCCCGGTCTAAAAACACATTTATCTTAACACAAAAGTAACTAATTATGCAAGCAATACTCCTACTCCCCACCATAGAATAATGAAAACTATAAATAAATTAAAAATCCATATGTTCATAGCACCAAACTTCAACTCATCCAAAATATATTGTAATTTCATACTTGTTAATTCACAGCCATAAGTATTATATAACTATATCATCTTTCATATTGTACACCATTGCCTTTTTTTTTATTTCTTTTCTTCTCTTTTTGTATATAACTGTTAACGAACGATTGTTAATTATTAAAATGTATGTAGTTGGGTTTGGCCGGTTTAAAAATTTAAATAAATAAATAAATACACTTCGTTCTTACGAGTAAAATAAAAACCAAATTGTTTGACTTTTGTTATGTTTACTCTTGAATTATAAATATTCTATACATATTGGACTTAAGTTTCTTTTTAAGTAGATGGTCGTATCAAAAAACATACACGCAGCTAAAACAGGTTTTTTAATTTTTTTTTTTACATTTTGTGAAAATAAAAAGACCAAGACTAAGATTTTAAAAGTCTTGGTCTAGGACTCTAGGTCTTGTTTTGATCATCACTAAACATTATTAGTTTGTGATATTTCACTAACCCATATCTTGCTTGAGAATAAAAATATCTCGAAATTCGTTGATACCTAAGCGTAGATAATTTTCTTACCTATAAGTTTGATAATAGGATTAGTGATAAGTCATGAGTGAATGAAGATTTGTCATGTCGTACCTTTGTAAGACAGAGACAACAAACGCCTTTGTAGCGTCCCCTTGAAAACATTCATTTAGATCTCTAAAATGTCATATCTATGTAAACAACGATTGATTTCATTACCTATTCGAATTTTGTTTCATAACATTTTTTTTTAAATATGAAATACTGCCGCGCGCCGGCCGGTAGACTATCATAACGCATACATGGTACTCTGTACCAGGACCACGGTAAGTGCTCATAACAATATGCATCGTATCATATTATGACGTGTTATCATAATAAAACAATATTGGGTTTTATTAAAAGTTTATATACAACGATTTTCGGATAGTTGTAGAGATTTATTATTTCCGAATGTCAACGTTTTCACTCAAATAAGCGTTTGGATTGTATTTTATTTGTGAATATTTTTACTTTCCAGTCACGATGTCGTCTATAATAGAACAGCCTTGCTACACTTTGATCAATATCTCTAGCGATTATGAGATGCCAAACGAAATGCAACTCAAGTCAGATCTTGGTTAGTATTAATCATCCGTCGTGGTTGTGTATTCAATTATTATTATTAACGACATTTCGTGTTGATGTATTATGTACAGAAAAAGGTGACAGCAAAACAAAAATTGAAGCATTGAAAAAAGTCATTCATATGATAGCCAATGGAGAACGTTTGCCAGGACTGTTGATGATAATAATTCGTTTCGTCCTACCGTTACAAGATCATACAATTAAAAAACTACTTTTAATATTTTGGGAAATAGTACCAAAAACTACAGCAGATGGAAAACTTTTACAGGAAATGATATTGGTCTGTGATGCATATCGTAAGGTAAATAAAAATTGAACCTTTTTTTATAATTTAGTTTTTCCCGTAACAAATTTATCATGAACCAAAATTAAGTGGTATTTATTTTAGTACTTGTTCAATGTAAAATGTGCTAGGTATACTGATAACTGATAAGTCAATTAATTAAGATGTGAATTTCCTTTTAAATGTATATAGTAGCCGGTATTTTAAATGTATTTTACTATTTTTAATTACGAATGCTATTAATTTTGATTACAAAGTCATTGGTCTAAATTGTATTTATTTATTTTTGTATCTTAGGATTTACAACACCCAAACGAATACTTAAGAGGGTCGACTCTTCGATTCTTGTGTAAATTGAAAGAACCAGAGTTATTAGAACCGTTGATGCCTACTATACGTTCATGCCTTGAACACCGTCATTCCTATGTAAGACGTAATGCTGTACTAGCAATATTCACTATTTATAGGTAATT